GTGATGTGGGGTAGGACCCGGGCTTTGGACATTTTAAAGGCTCTCCTAGTGGTTCTGCGTGTGGCGAGTTTGGGACCCCCTGTTTTAAAGGGAGTGTCTTTCTTCCCATTCCTCTACAGTTGAACCTCGTTTCTCGAACGTCTCTCATCTCCAACAACCTGGTTCCAGGCCAAGTTGCTCACAGAAAAAAGTCCCCCTTGTGGATCAAAACTTCCATTTTCGAACAGACAACCCTTTCAAGTGTGGTATCAGCATGACAAAAGGCTTCTGGCAGGCAACAGGCAACGGAGAGAATGCTTTGGTTGCTGGCAATTAGCATAATTTTAAAACATAAAGAAGCCATCAGCCTGGGCTGTTTTGATGCAGATAGAGCATCAGCGGGCAGACTGAAGGGTCCGGTTCAGTTCTGGTCAAGGGCATGTGCCCGTGCTGCAGACTCAATCACCAGATTCTCTCTCATCACTGATGTTTCTCTCTCCCTCCCTCTCCCTTCCTCTCTGAAATCAATAGAAATATATTTAAAAAATAAAATAAAGAGGCCATCAATTAGCTAATGCTAATGTTGCTAAGGGTGTGAAAGTGCTCACAAAACAGCAATCACAGGCAACTGAATAGGTGGAAAAACTGTTGTGGATCGGATAAACGAAAAGCAGTTAGCCTGTGATAGCATTTCAGTGGTAGCATTTCAGAGGCAGTGATATATAAAAAATTCCTTTAAGATTAGTAGGGGGTGGTTTGATAAATTTAAGAGAAGAAGTGTTTATAAATTAAACAGTATATTAGACATAGCCTAATATATAAAAATCCAGGGGCTGTCATGACCTAAATGACCAGACGGACAACTGAACAGCAGGCTGTGTGGGGTGACCAGGCTGGTGGGGGGGTTAATGAGGGATGACCAAAAGACTGAATAGCAGGCTGCATGGGGCGACCAGGCCAGCAGGGGGGGGGGGCAGTTGGGGGCGACCAGGCCAGCGGGGGCAAGGGGCAGTAAGGGGCGACCAGGCTGGCAAGGGGGGCAGTTAGAGGCAATCAGGCAGGCAGGCATGTGAGCAGTTAGGTGCCAGTGGTCCTGGATTGTGAGAGGGATCCTGGATTGGAGAGGGTGCAGACTGGGCTGAGGGGACCCTCCTCCTCCTGTGCACTAATTTCGTGCACCGGGCCTCTAGTACTGTATATAAGAAAGGTTGAAACAGGGAATCATTTGTGGGTCTGGAGCAGATTAATTCAATTTACATTATTTCTAATGGGAAAAGTGATTCAGTTTTTGATCACATCGCTCTTAAAAGGCCTTCTGGAACAGATTAAGTTCGAGAAATGAGGTTCCACTGTACATCCATATCCTTTTACCCACCAGGTACATTTTCCAGCTTCTTAATAACCCAGGGGCAGATTTGGGGGGTAAACTATTCTACACGAGGATTCATATTCTGAAGGGTCTTGCCCACCCTTCCCTTGCCTGTCTTGGAGCAAGTACAAGCTCGGGCCAGGTGCCTGCAGGGCACGGAGGATCCCATGAGAAAAGACAGTCTCTGCCCTCATGGAACTTGGAGAGGGACAGACCCCAGATAAGCCATTAATGAGGAGGAGAGGTAAATGGAATGGCACGAGGAGGACAGGATGGGGGGTACTCCCAGGGGGGGGGGCGGGGAGGTGGCAGTGGGAGGTGGGGAGGAAGCGCCAGGCGGTGAGAGAAGCAGGTGTCTTCTGCTTCTGCTCCGTGGACATGCATTCTGGGCTTGTGCCCTTGCCGGTCACCTCACTGGTCCCTCTGCACATGGCCTGTGTGCACTTCCAGCCAGAGGGGCCAGACATTAAGTCCTTCAAAGCACAAGTGTTATTTAGCACCTGTGTGCCGGCACGTGTGGGGCCCAGCTGTGAACCAGACCATCGGAGGCTGCCGTGTAGGTGGGAGAACTACCTCCTGTGCTAGCTGGGTGCCCAGGCGAACCTGTGTGAGGATCCCAGTCATGCCACGGAAGTGACTAACTCTTTCCTTCTCCTTTCGCCCTAGCTGGTCAGGCTGGCCCCAGCAGAGGCAAAATTCGAGTCTTCAACCAGGAACAGGTCTGCCTGCGACGGGGCACCCAGAGAGGATGCTAGGGACCTGCAGCGCTTTGTGGTAACCCCTGGGGACTCCAGAAATACCAGGGACCAGACTGGATTTGCAAGAGATCAGCTGCTCTGTGGGGGTGGACAGGGTTAGAGTCCAAGGAGACCTAACTATACAAGTCAGTTTAGACTGGGGCTGAGACACATTTAGAACACGTGTATTTTCCAAATGATATGTAACTACACAGTACAATTATAATCAAATGGGAAAACCCCTTTGTTTTACAATAAGCTAGGCTCTGCTCCCCTGCCACCCCCCCCTCCTCACGCGGTCCCCACCCTGTCACTACAGTCACGCCATGCACGCAGTCTTTGTTGCTCAAGCTTAGGTAGGGTCTACATTCCCAGTGGCAAGGAGAAGGCAGCGATTCGAGAAAAGCCGTTACTGGGAGGAAGTTATCACTTTATAGCAGCAGAATTTATAATTGAAAAATGGGACACCCTTAAAATGTCCCAACACTAGGAGACTGGTGCAATACAAGCTAGTCATCCACGTAAGAGACTATTATGTAGCCATCAAAACGATGCTCAATAGTTGGATTAACATGGAAAATGTTGTTTTATTAAGTTAGGTGAGGAAAGCAGAATGAAAATTATCTATATACTTTCTCACCTTTTACCTAACCAGAGGAAACATCTCTCAAGCCTGTGTGTAGAAACACACACATACACACACACGCACACGAACACGCGCACACGCACACACAGCGAGGTCACACTGCAGCTATCTTTATTTAGAGGGAATTGTGGTTACTGTTCCCTTCTTCTCTTTGCCTTTCTGTACTTTTCAAGTTTTCTATTATGTGAATTACTGTTTTATAAAATGAAAAACCCCACATTATAAATATTTACATCAAAATTAAAGAGACAGCCTGCTGTTCTTAAATTAGCCTCTTCAATCACCGGCAGGAATAGTCTCCTCCTCACGGCTGAATGCAGCCTAAGTGGGAGAAGATGCGTGTTTTCATGGAAGACCATTCCCGTGATGTTAGCAAAGGCTGACCATGAAGGAAGCCTGGTCTTTTGGGTTTCTGGACCAATCCCAATGTGTGTGTGTATTGGTGTGTGTATGTGTGTGTTTGTGTTCGGGTGTATCTATGTGTATATTTGTGTGTGTGCTGGTATGTAGTATTCCCCAACAACCAATTGTGTGACACGAACAAGGTGTCTGAGAATTGAGTTAAACTCAGACACTGTCTACCCTGTGATCCAACAGGTTGAGGGCTCCATCCACAAGGCCGCCCCACTCATATACCGATCGCAAGTCAGTGACACAGTTGACACCTGTGCTTCTGACAGACTGGCTACGAGTCAGAGGTTCTCATGATCCCCCCTTGGATTTGATTAATTTGCTAGAATGGCTCGCAGAACTCAGGAAAACTCGGGTGCCCATGTTGGACTGCCAGCTGGACTGGACCCTGCCTGGGGACTTCACCCACGTGCCTGTACCTCTGCGTCAACTGCACCCTATTTTCCCATACCCCTGGCAACAGGGTTTTTAGAAACACCTACCAACTTGGAAACTGTATCACTTTAAAATGTGGGAAAAAGCAGTTAAACACACATTGGTTTATTGAATGCTGACATGTGCCAGGCACTGCAGATACAGCAGAGAACAGGACAAAGTCCCTGACCTCCAGGCGCTCATGTTCTAGTGCAGACAACAGATATCGCAGCAGCAGGGAGCACCTCACGCAGGGCCTTACCATCGGGGACGGGGGCGGGGGGGGGGGGCAGCGGACCAGGGACGCATGCACAGAAGCACATCACGATGCCCTTCATGCTGTAACAGTGCTGCTTAGGGACCAGACGTTGGTGTGTGTGTGTGCGCGCTGCTGGGGAAACAACAGAGGCAGAGACCAATAAGGAAAGGAGGCCAGACAGGCCAGCTTGTCCTGGGTGGCAGCGTGGAGGAACTCACTCCCCTTGGCCCATCACAGTCCAACGTGCAAGTGGGAGGTCTCGGAACACAGGACGTGCGGAGCACCACGAGGCAAAGCACCCAGAAGCGTCCACGGGCTGTCACCACAGGGGCTGCTTCGGGGTCCTGCGGGGAGAAGCCAGCCAGCAGCAGGGTGAAGAGTAAGTGAACACAGCGGGCAGAAGCTTATTCCAGAAGTTTGCCGTGAAGGAGAGGACTTGGGCTCTTGAAAAATTATTTGTTTTAATGTGTTTGAAAGAGTTCAGGGTATTTAAATGCTACAGGAACTAGAGGGCAAAGGTTAACCACGCTGGAGAAGGCGGGAGAGGACGGACCCCTCTTCCAGGAGAGCAGGAGCGCGGGGAGAACGGGTGAGCTCAGGCAGGTGCAGATGTGGAAGCAGAGTTCAACCCAGGAGCTCCCGGAGATGGCTGATCTTCTCCATGAAACAGGAGGTCAGAGATTGGGGAACTCCTGGCCAGAGGGATGGCGAGAAAGCACAGGTAAGAAAGAAAAGGGCGGGCGGGCCCGTGGAGAGCACTTCCCGCAGGTAAGGAGAAGGCTCAGGAGCCAGGGAAGGCAGTGACAGGGGAGGCAGGAAGGTGCCTAAGGCTGCAGGAAGGTCAAGTGGGTGGACTGGGCCCGGGGTCACGGTGTGGCCAGCAGCCAGGAGTTGGAGCGGATGGGGGTGAGGCAGTGAAGCTGAGGCTGCGAGGAGACCGCAGAAGCAGGAGCACCAGAGCAGCTTCTGCACAGACGGGCGCTCAGAGGGCGGAAGCCACAGGGAGGCTCCCGTGGCCCGGGCCCTGGGCCTCACTGACCTCTCGGTGACCCCGTTAGGCGGCTTACACATTTAGGAAGCCATTTGCCGCCTTCTTTTTTTCATCTGAAGTCAAATCCACGTTGTATCTTTGAGCCTCCAGGAGGCAACAGGGATGATGGATCCACACACACACAGGCCAGAGAATGGTGTTTCTCTCTTTTATTTAAAAACAGTGCTTCATTACCATTGGCAAAGGCAGAGGCGGTGCTCCCCCTTCGCGTAGAGTTTATAAAAGCCAGCAACATGATCAATAATTTATACACATGGATAGTAATACAAAAAAAAATAAGGAATAAAAGCTAAAGATCTAACTACTCCGACCTTCACAATTCCAGCTACTTGATAATAATAGGAGTAACCCAATGAATACTGTATGGTCTGAAAGCTACTATACAATATGATTCTTAACGAGAAGGGAGGGAATCAGAGGCTGTCACAAAGCCCTGGGTGCTTCTCTGGAGTCCGCAGGGAAACGGGACCCTGGGCGAGCAGCTCGGGGGTCCTAGGAAGTGATCCGGGGAGGGGAGGGAGAGAAGGCGAGGTGGTCAGTTACACAAGCATCCCACGTGATGCCCCCGTGCCCCGAAGGTACCTGTTTGCCATGGCAATGGGAGGGGCCGGAGAGTGCATGTGGCGTGGAGGACGGTTCAGTCCCCGCCACGGGGGTGGGGAGGAGAGGTGCTGTGGCGTTTTGAGCCTTGCAAAGATTTGGACTGAAGAGCTCAGAGACTCAGGGGGCCGCCTGCCGGGAACAGGGACCCCGGCTCTCAGCTCTGCAGCCCTAGCTTACGTGTGTCAGCCCCAGGTTTGCTCCAGCTTTTCACAAGCAGAATTATAACACAAGAAAAACAATTCATATCCCTTAGGGAAAAAAGAGGATCAATTCATCACTCGATATATAATACAGCCAAAATGAGCTGCCAAAACAAGCACACACACACACAAATACTGTGAACAGAAAAATACAGGAAAGTGACTAAGCTCGGAGTCTTGACGGGGCACCGACACTGCTTAAAGCACTTAGTCCCCAGGAAAACTAAACCAAAAGAAACCATTTTTTTTTAAATTCAAAAACTCGTGGACCCCCCTGGGAATCTGGTGTTGCTAACAGGGACAGGGGGTGGGGAGAGAGAAGAGAACCAACGTTCCCTTTCTGCCTGCAGTGTGACCTGAGCCCTCACCGCCGGCACACAGGGCGCACGCCGACAGAGGCCTGAGTGCCGCACTGGCAGGCTCCTTAAAGGCAAGGTTGAATGTTGGCTGATGGACGTTCTCGGTTACCAATCCCTGCCAACCAGCACCACCATGGCTGAAGTGATCGACCGTTTTCCTGAGTAAACTAACTGGCTACAGTGCTGGTGACGTGGACGGGAACTCAGCCCCCACAGCCAACTGCGACCCTCCAGCACTCCTGCGCCTCGGCTCCTCGTGGGATTCAGGAATTTGAGAACCGGCTGTAGTCTGGTCTGCAAGTCTCACTGTAAAGACAGGTGCCAGGGACTCCGCCACACTCACTCCACCAGAGGGCACGTGCTGGCTTAGGACACCCGGAGCCGACCTGCGAAGGGCCCTGCGTCATGCTCCACTAGCTCCCCTTACACTAAGAGCTAGCACTTGGATGGCTATGGCCTGGTTGATCAGTAAAGCAAGTATGAAGGAAGTACAGAGGAAAGGGGAAAGGGAGGGAAGAGGCTTTTGAACAGTAACATTTTCAAAAAATAAAATAAAATAGTGTTTTATGCAACAGAGAATCAAGTTTCACTGTGTACACTACAAATGGTCAAACATTTTCAAGAGCAAGACAAAATAAAAACACACAAATTTACGTTTGATGTTCACCTTGCCCACTATTTTTTTCCTATCTTAAAACAGTGCAAACAGGTAACTTATGCTTTTAAAACACCACTACCCCTTCCCTACCCCCCAAGGTCTCTTTCCTCCTATTATCCGGGGGTGGGGTGAGGGTGGGGGTAAAATCTGCAATTCTGCAAATGTTACTGTGCTAAAGGGTTGCAAGCAGCAGAGAAGCGGCCGGCCTTGGCGAAAGGGGAGGGTTTGGACAACGTCCCCTTTCCCTCCTTACACGTCTAGTGCCTTCCAGACTGTCCCTCGCTTGGCCTCGCTCTCCTGCCGGAGGGAAGGGGGGTAATCAAGCCCGCCTCGCAGATCCTTGGAGCTGCTTCCATCCCAAGTTTCCACCTCCCTCCTATCTGGAAGCTACGTGACTAGTCATAGGGTGATGGCGACTCACCGACTTATCGGCTACCTCTAGGAAAGTCTAACCTACACTAAGAGCAGTTCAGCCCCTGAGGAGTCACACTTGTGAAGAAAAGCTGCTATCGCTTATTTCTAGGAAACAGATCTCCACTAGCTCCCCTTAAACTAAGAGCTGAGCCCCAGCCCCCTTCTTTTTTAAGGAAAATAAGAGGCTCCATTCTGACTGTGGCTGTTGGAGGATAATGGTGATGGTAGGTTTTGTGAAACCTGAGAGCCTTAGAAAGGACGAATCGCCACAGCTGATCCCTGATCCAGGTCCTTGGGAGCTGAGCTATGTAACACTAGGGATTCTGGGAAAGACCTAAGGACAGCTCTCTGGGGGGAAAGAGGCATGTTTAGATAAAGATCTCCACTAGGGGTCTCCTTGAAGGAGCCCAGCTCCTAAGAGTAAGATGCTTAGTATAGAAAGTCCACGTCATGAGCTAAGTAAGCTGCTGAAATCTCTCCTGCACGGTGACTCAGCGTCAATATGTTTTTAGGAATTATCAACCAGCACGCGCTAACGAACTCGCAAGATGCCAAACTCTCTTCTGACTCAGCTGCTTAGTCCAGTGGGGACTTGAGCCAGGAATGGACAAGCTCTAATGCCTTGAGGAACCTGCCTCTGATGGAGTCTCAAAGTTCAAAGGTGGATGGGAGGCCAATACCGCCAAATCCAGGGGTTTCCGAGCCCTACTCCTCAGTGTGGATACCCAAAACTAGAGGCCCGTTAGTGAGAAGCAGAACTCATCTGGTCCTGCTCAGGAGGGAGCTAGAGGGAGCCGTGTTACCACCCCCTGGAAGGCAGCAGAAGCCCTTGGAGAACACGGAGCTTGCCTGGGGTCCTCAGCCAGAACCAGCTGAACTGAAATGCACAAAGGGTACCTCCAGCTCAAGCTCTGCCTCCTAAAAGGGTCATGGGAGCTGCCTTCTCCACCCTTCCCTTCACCCTCATCCCTTCTGGGGAAGAGAAGACTCTCAAGCTCACTGCCCTCCTCCCTGCTGCGGACACAGCTGTTCAGAATGTGGCCTTGTCTCCAAGGGGTGTCTTGCCATTCTGAGAATGGCCCTCTTTGAACATGACACGAAATTTCTCTCGGTTCCTTTAGTCAGTAAAAGCTCTCCCTCAAAACAAAAGAAAATAAGAAAAAGAAATCCTCCTGCCCCCATTCTCTAGAAATTCCCACCCCCCACCGCTAACTAAAAGATTTATATACACACAACAAAAACTGTCTTCACAGCAACAAATCAAACTTTGGCTTGGGGAGGAGAACCCTTAAGAAGTGGCCAGTGGACTGGGCAGTTTGGTGTCCCCTATTCTACACAATCCCCAGAATCAACAAGAATTGCATCGAGGCCTCTAGCTTCAATGATGTCTCCCAGTTGCTAGGACAGAGGATCCTCAAGGGGAGAGACATGTATTCTATCCGACAGGCCAGTCCTTCCCAGATACAAGCCTCTGCTTACAAAGAATGCTTGATGCTGTCGTATGTCAGTCACTTTAATTCAGGGACACGAATCAGTTATCAGTCAAGAACATGTGTGGAGGCAGGAGTTAAAAAACCAAAACCAAACCCATAACACACCGGAAGCTCCGTGTCTTTGAATTACTCCCTTTATCAGCTATCCCTGGGGTGAAAGGTCACCCTAGTACCAATGTGAATAGACCAGGGAGCCAGACAGACGGTGCTTTTCTGTTTTCTATGCCTTCATGCTGGAAAGGCAGGACCCTTACCTCTATCAGTAACAGCTAACAGCTAGAAGAGAAACACTTTCTTCCCTACCTCGATCACACACATAGGGGAAGGCAGGCAGCAACAGCAGTGACCCACTGCACGGGCCGCCCCGTAACTCCTGGCCATCTCTTCCTCCTTCCCTACGGGAGAGCAGCCTCGGGGCTTCGTGCTTTCTGTCCTGTAGTGTTCACGAATACCAACTGGTCCAGGTGCTCAGCTGGGGTCTTTGGAGGATAATGAGAAGCTGGGTGGAAGGGCCACGGGGGCTCAAGACTGGAGAGAGAAGTGACTCATAAAGGCTCTGGAGGAGGACATTCCTATGGCTTTGGAGCTAGTACAGTGCCATCGCCGCCCTGACAGGCCCTGGCCACCAAGCCTTCCAGGGACAGCTGGCCCAGGACGCGCTGCTTGTCTCTTGCCAAGTCTTCATTCTGTCTTGCACTCTGCACTGACTTTCTGATGGAAGAGGAAGATCGCGAGTATCAGAGTGCCTTGCAGACACGGCCTAACCTCCTTTCTCTTCTCTTGACCCTCTGTACTGGCTCTTGACAGATTGTACTTCATCCTCAACCGTGTCCAGGAAGAAAGCTGGCCACTAGCTATTTATTTATTTTTCTGTCCCTGGGTCCTAAATTCCTGAATCTTGAGGACATGGGGGCAGGGTGTTCATAAAAGGATAGATGAGCTAAGCTGTGGTTCAATTAAAAGGGAAGGAGCCCAGCAGGAATGCTAGGATGGCAAGAAAGAAAAGAAATCTTTTTCATACTCCAGAGTTCATTCTGAGATTAGTTTCCTAATGAGGTGTTTATTATCCACAGTCTGAGAGCAAGTTTGGAAATATTAATATTATAATTCCAAAAACTCTGCCAACTGTCTCAGGCTGTGCATGTAAGATGATTGTAAAAAGAATGGAGAAGACAGGAGGGAAGAGGAGAGGAAAGTGAATTTTTAATTCTCCTGCTTGGCAAGCACAAATTCCTATCATCTATTAGCATGTGGGTTCCAGCCACAACCAATCAGAATTGCCTGCCAAAGACCAGAAACTCAGAAGACTAGAAGACTATCCTATTGCAGAAAATCTCTCCCACTTCTGCGTGTCCCCCCGCTGGCCAGCACCAGATACACTTTGGTAATTCTGTCTGCTGATTTCTGATCAGACGCAGTTCTCAGTTCCTAATCTCTCTCCTCCCTCATTAATTGCCTCTTCCGTGATTGACAGAAAGCTAAGCACGGACATACAGACATGGAAATGCATTTTGTTTTTTTTACCACAGTTAAAAAAAAAAAGGAAAAAAAAAAAGAAAAAATGCACAATCTTTGGAACAAAAGAATTAAAGGCAGAAATTTAAAGGAAAAATACATATTCAAAGAACATAGTGAGGTATAAAAAAGTATTCTCTCTTTTTTTGTGTTTTTTTGTTTTGTTTGTTTTGTTTGTTTTTCCTCTTCATCTTGCTATAGAGTTCCTCTACTAGTAAATATTGCAATAGCCAGGCCTCATGAACTGGGGGCTGTCCCACTCGCAGGGTCTCACGTCACTTCAGTAGGGGGCAAATCGGCTGTAGCCACCTCGGTATAAACTCGCCTGCAGTGATTAAAGACATAAAAACAATTAAAAGGTTGATGAGAGATTTGGGAAAACAGCTTCCTTAGAAGCCTCAAAGCAACTGATGCGATGCTGCCAGGGGCAGCGCAGTCGGGAAACCACCTCGGCCTCTGAGAGGCTCGAAGCAGCGCCAGGACACTTACTGCTGACCCGAGCTTCTCAGAGGGAGGGCACGCCAACGGGGCACTGCGTTATCCACATGAACTAGCACAGAAGGGAAAGTCAGCACAGTTCACAACTAGGTCTGTCGATGGGTCTTTGTTTACCTTGACTACATCATTACAACCGTGACCTTCTTACACTTACCTGTCAATGGGGGACATGCTACCTCTGACCGCTATTTCTGTCATATCCCATGTTTGAGACAGTGTTGGATTTAAACCTGAGTCAATCTTTCAATGAATAAAGTCAATTTCCTGACATACATGTATGTATAACTGGGGTTTTAACTGGGTTTTATTTCTTTACTAGAGGCCTGGTGCACAAAAATTCATGCACTCCAGGTGGTCCCTCAGTGTGACCTGCACCCTCTCACAGTCTGGGGAGCAGGCCTAAGCTGGCAGTCGGACATGCTTAGTGCTGCCGCAGGGCTTCTGGCTGAGCAGCGCACCCGCTGTGGGAGTGCACTGATCACCAGGGGGCAGTTCCTGCATTGAGCGTCTGCCCCCTGGTGGTCAATGCACATCATAGTAACCAGTTGTTCTGCAGTTCAATTTGCATATTAGCCTTTTATTATATAGGATGTTTATCTAATGGTGCCTCTTTTTTTCAAATAAAATATCCCTAGGAACATAGATAGCGCTCTTTGGGTTATTCTTTTCTAGAGGACTTATATCATGTTGGCACTAAATAAAACCTTAGGAGCTTCATCACTTTCTTCGTATTGTATGTCTCTACCTTAATTCTAAACACACACCCCCAACCCCGCCTGGGACCCTATCACTTCCTCCCACAAATCTTCATGGGCAGGAAGTCAGTGTGCGACAATGACAGGCTCTCTCATTTACTTTAAGTCTTAAATCTGAGCCCTCATTCTGCCCCCCTCACACCTTGTCCGTGCTCCCAGACAGCGGCCAGGCTGCACTTCAGAATGCAGAGTTTTGGACATTAGTAGGTGTCACAGAGGAAAGGCCTATCTTTGCTGGAGTCAGTGAGTCCCCATTGTTGGACCTGGAGGCATCCAGGCCAACACAAAAATGCTGGGGTGAGGATTTGAGTTTGGTTAAGGGGCATCATTCTAGAAGAGCTCTAGCCTTCTATGGAAAGACCGTATTTTTGCAACAGATGTTACTACTAAAATATCTTTGTAAGGCGTTCAACACCTGGTGATTTCTAGTACCATCTACCAGAAGACTTACAAACAGCAAGGACAGCCTTTGGCACCTGCATTTGCAACTCATACAAATTAAGTTATCTGAAAAGCTTAATGTAAAAATTGGAGAGTCTTATGCTCTGAAGTCCTTGCTAACACCTATCAATAAAACTACACTACAGTTACGTATCCAACATTTGAGCCAATGTAAGATATCAACCTATTTCCTTCTTTCTTTCTCAAAAAATGTCGTTACTCAGGGCAGACTGCCACTGTCCATTCCTTTCTGCTGTCCTTACGCAGGCCTGTGGCTTGTACTACTGCACTCAGGGAGAGAAGGTGTTATGAAATTTCCAGATGGTCCTATGTGGCTTTAATACTTTGGTAATGGAAGAAGGGCTAAATTTACTATTTCCCTAGATCTTACATAGTCTGTAGGTAAAAGTTAGAAGTAAAATGTTTTTTAAAAAATTGTACATATACTTACCACAGCGCCAACTCCATAGCTAGCGGCAGGGGCAAGGGCATGGTAGGGGTCAGCTGTGTACACCCTGCCATAACTGGAAAGGAGAAATACAATCAGGGAGAGAAAGAAAAGATAGTAACCCCCCAAATGAAAGGGTTTACTGTGCTAAGGACTGGTGAGCGGCTTGATCTTAGAATGATTATTAGGAAATTGGCAGAATGGAAAAAGCCTTCAGATTCCTATTCCTAAATATAGTACTCGGAAAAATTCTGAGGTCTTCTCTAAGATGGAGAAGAAGGGAGTTGCAGATGACAAAGAGGGAGATTGCGGTGAAAGGAGGCAGCGCCATGGCTTTTGGCATGACAGGCCACGAGGAGAAGGCCAGGCCTGCGGGCAGCCCCAGGCACTAGGTGCCGTTTTGGAAGTGGGGAAGGGCGGAGAGGCAGTGACACTCAGGACCATGTACGTACCCGTCGCTGTAAGCGGCGGCAGCGGCTGCAGCAGCCGTGGCTGCGGTTGCAGTAGCAGGCTGTGCATATCTGTAGGCTGCATATCCGGCCTACAGGAGAGAAGAGAACTGACTTTACAGCTACCTCTCCCCCCGGAAGCACAGATGAACACACACCCACCCACATGAGACAGACAGACACAGGGAGACACAAACACAGACACACACATGGGAAGAGGATGTTTCAAACTGCATCGGTCTACATGTTACTCCCCCAGTGCAAGAGTAAGCTCCACCCTGCACAGGGACTCGCTGTCCAATTTGTGACAGTAACAAAAATAAACCATCTTGGTAGGATCTGTTCTCAAATTTAAGAAATGAAGATATGAATTTTGATCTGTCTTGTTTCAGTCTCTGCTGGAACTTTCAGCAGGGAAAATATTCATAGGAAGTTGGGAGAACTTTGACTGACAGGAAGTATCAATTAGAGAATGAAAACATTAAATGAATGTGTGTTAACGTCCGATTCCCTGATGCATACACAGACTCTTACTGCTAAGAGTCTGCAGTATATAACAAAGGCCCCGTATAGCTATGCTCCATCGACCTAGCACGCTTGTCCAGAGGCTGAGAGAAGAGGCAGTATTTAGGAGGAAAAGCCAGGGTACATCAGGGGTGGCAGACTTCAGCCTGTGAACCCAGGGCACTTGTCACCTGTTTTTGAAAGTAGTTGTGACAGAGACTGTCTGGCCGACAATATTGAGCACTTGGCCCTTTACAGAAAAAGCTTGCTGACTCCAAGCTATTTCAGACTCAGGCAAGTCAGACTACAAATGGCTGATGCCCTTTTGGCTGGAATAGGATAGATTAAGAACCGCCCACCCCAAGCATTTAACTGCATTTACTCTCCTTCCCTCTAAGATTATGGATTCTCAAGTCCTGATTGCATCGCAGGCTGCAGAGTTTTTCTACTAATGGCTCAAATACCCTCAGTCCTAAGGAGCTGCTACTTCGCCTCAGTCTCGAAGGTTCTCACTGCTGGGTAAACCCCATGAAGACCAGAAAGGAGCGCAAAGGTAACCACACAATGCCACACGAGGCAGGCTGTTGCAGTGGCAAGCCCGGCCTTTGGTTTCTTCTTTAACCTTCGAGAATTCATCTATTTAACCAAACGTAATTCAGGTGTGAATTTTTATTGCTGCGATCCCTATCAAATATGACTATGCTCAACTGGCCCATTCTGACACCACTTCAGGAGTGACGACAGCACATTTGGTTTCTGCAGGTTAGCAGGTCCATTTCTCATGGACATCTGAAGCTTCCTGCCCTGTGCTTTCTACTTCCTATTCCCTCAAATGTCCAAGTTTTGCTAAATCTACGCAAGGAATTGCAAATTCTGTTCGGTATCATTTCTTAGGATGGATAACAAGTATTTTCTAATGGGAGTCTTGCTCTCCTTGGCCATCTGATGTGGCAGCGTCTAGCTGGCTGCTTTCATTTCTGTCCAGATCTTACTTTGGACACATCTGCAGTTCCTTACAGGCCCCTAGCGCTCTCTGCTTCCTTCGTCTGTAATGTGTGCTTTCCCTAACGGCACTGAGGGGCATTTACTCTTGCTCTTTAAATTTATTTGCCTGAGTCAGATAGCTTCAAATGTGCACTTTAAAATCCCTGATTGGTTTTCAGTGGTTATGTATTATTCCTTCTTTGTTCTTCAAAGGAATGACTTAGAAAAGTAAAAATTTATTTCTCAGTTACAGATTATCCTACAGATTAAGAAAATTCTGCCCGGCCAGTATGACTCAGTGGTTGAGCGTTGACTTATGAACTAGGAGGTCATGTGCCAGGGTTGTGGGCTGGATCCCCAGTGTGGGGTATGCAGGAGGCAGCTGATCAATGATTCTCTCTCATCACTAATGTTTCTCTCTCTCTCTCTCTCCCTTCCCTTCCTTTCTGAAATCAATAATATATATATATATATATGTGTGTGTGTATATATATATATATATATATGAAAATTCTAATTAATATTAGCAAGCATTGGCAATGACAGGACATGGCAGGAAGCACCTCGGGGCTACTTTCAGTCAACATGCCTCCTTTCCTTCTAGTCAGTTCTGTGGGAGCCGGCAGGCAGGACCGATGTGGGCAACACTGTACAGCCCAGCTGCAACCTATACACATCACATCATTTATAAACTAACTCAAGTTTCTCTTTATTTATTTATTTTTAACTTCTAAAGGAAATAAGGCAGCAAAAGCATTTGTTAAGGCAACAAGCTAATAAATACTGTTGGAATATTAGGCTTTGAATGAACCTTAAAGGCTCAGTTTCCATTATAATAGGAGACTCCATCAGTGCAAAACTAACGCTTGTACTAAAACAGTGATGGCGAACCTATGACACGAGTGTCAAAGGTGACACGCGAACTCATTTTTTGGTTGATTTCTCTTTGTTAAATGGCATTTAAATATATAAAATAAATATAAAAAAATATAAATCTTTGTTTTACTATGGTTGCAAATATCAAAAAATTTCTATATGTGACACGGCACCAGAGTTAAGTTAGGGTTTTTCAAAATGCTGACACGCCGAGCTCAAAAGGTTCGCCATCACTGTACTATAACGTGTGCAGCAGAGTTACCTTTGCTAAAACTTAATTGTGAACCAGGATAATGTGGTAAAGAAGCATTACGTGGTTTGTCTCTAGTATTCTCTCAAACACCAAAATAATCTTTAAAAAGTAACAATAAAAGTCAAGGTAATAAAAGCAGTTAAAGCCCCAAATTTGTTTACTTGAATGGAAGATTAAAAACTGAAGTTCTAAGCCATAGGGCTCACGGTACTATAAGTAAGGCTCACTAAAGACAGAGATAGTGGGGAGTACATCATATCAGTACAGCTTTGAGGTGCACCGCACTATTTCTGGAAAAAAAGAGCTTCTGAATGAAATTTCCAATAGAACAATTCCCCTCAGAAGCCATCAGAACCTCGATGTTTTGGGGTTAATGTTATTGTTACTCCAAAGGGATCAGACTGTGGGAAGAAGCTTTCTTCCAAGCCAGGAAGAGAAGGGCAGAATCCACTTGCAGTAGTTTCCTTCGACTGAAAGCAAATCTGACGTTGGAGTCTGCATTTGATGGGGTTCTCTGCTATTCAAATTCAGGAAACAGGGCAGGGATGCAAATATTTTATTGACAAGAAAAGGCTCAAGAAGGATATTAACATTAAGAAAAATTACATTCATGTTTTTCTTAAACATCACTACTCTCTTAATTACTTTATGATAATGGTGCGACTGGGAGGTCTTTTACAGGGGGGTCTGTGCTTAGGATGGGCAGGTAATATCCTAATAAACAAATTTGGTAATTCATGATGATTGCTGCAAAATTAGAAAAATTGAATTTTGTATCATGGATTTACTCTTCTTAGAGGTAGTCTTACTCCAAAGTATTTCTGCTCCTGCTTTAAATTGGTTGTTGAGCCGAAACCGGTTTGGCTCAGTGGATAGAGCGTCGGCCTGAGGACTGAAAGGTCCCAGGTTCGATTCTGGTCAAGGGCATGTACCTGGGTTGCGGGCACATCCCCAGTAGGAGATGTGCAGGAGGCAGCTGATAGATGTTTCTCTCTCATCGATGTTTCTAATTCTCTATCTCTCTCCCTTCCTCTCTGTAAAAAATCAATAAAATATATTTTTAAAAAAATTGGTTGTTGAACAAACTGTATCACATAATATAAAACAGGACAAAGAAAATCCAGATATTTCTATTCCAAATTAGGAGTGAATAAAGATTCCAGGCTGATACTTTCCTCAGTTTCACTTCTACTAGCAAATCTGAAGTCTTTTATAGAACATGAGAACAAAGTGCAGTTTGAAACACCACCGTTTTCATTATTGTCTCTTAAGTTTTCCAAAAGAACAAGGGTAGGGAAGTGGGTAGGAGAGACAGGGCTCAGGCGTGGGGAGGGGATATGGCGCCACATTTATTAATCACATTAAGAACTAAGCATGCCAACATCTGGAGCTAAAACAACCAGCAAATCACCACGTTCAGACTCGGATTGGCTAACTCTATCTATCCCAGCATTCTCTTGGGACAGCGGTTTGCCCTAGGCTACCACAAGCTCGGTGAAGTACAGCCTCAATTACTAGAGCGTGCAGCCACAACGACCTGGTATTACGGAAACAGTCAGTCACCACTTGAGTTAACATTCCAGACCCTAACGACTGGCCCCTCCCCAGCCCAAAGAAAAAGGAAATCTTGCCCACCCTAGCCCTGGCCCACACCACAATGTTAATAATTATAACAAGCAGTAACCCATCTGTTATATCAGAGAAGGGAACAGAGACTCCACTGAGAGATTTAGAGTGAGATGTTAACATTTCTTCAGCTGACTGCACAAACAAACAAACAAAAAAAGAGGAGAAATAATTCATTTGGAGATATGAAGTCATGAAATAGCTGATGTGTATTGCTTTTAACCATGCACTGATGCAAAACTGAAGCAACCATTAATAATAAAAATTAAAAAGGACATATGTATTTACACACAATCAGACCTGTTTGATCTGAAGCAGTTTGCAGATTCTATCTGTGTGTGATTTGAAATAAAACAAAAAATGGGGATTAGCATGGCCACAGCACACCCTAATGTAGGAGGGCACACACGGACAGCTTTGGAACCCTGATCGCTGCATAAATTTGGCATGGCTACGCCTGATCCAAATATACACGCCCCTTTACACATAATGACTTTCTGATTCTTCTGCAATTCACTCTGCATGACTCCTCGTGCTCCCAATGGGGCGGCCCAGTGCTACCTCACCCGCCTAGTCAACCTTCTTGACCTGGCAATGTGACTCAGTCCTGGCCGGCAGCACTCTCGGGTAGCTTGCCCTCTGTCAACACCCATCCATTCTGATCCACAGTGCTCTTCTAAAATATCTCCTGCTTAAGCATTGTATCATTACGCATAGCCATAACATGTCTCTGCTTTCAAATTCCAGCTTCTTCAAAGGAAAATGCTGTTACCTTTAAGATCCTTTTGTTGTTGTTAAAGTCTGTTTTCCATGACTCAAAGTCACCTCCCAGGGATTTTCTACTGCACTCAATCTAATTTAATTCATCATCTAATGAACTGTATGACGTTGCCACACTGACCACATGACTCTCTGCAGCTGGGCTTTCAACTAGACCAAAATGGAAGGGCTCTACATATCACCCCTCCTGCACCTGACCTCCGGCTGCCACTAATTCTATTAGCTTAATCTCACTCTGGCAGACTTTCCCCCGTCTTGATTTTAACCTAGCCTCTAACTGTATTATATTTGTTTTAGGTTTACATTAAAACAGGACTTTGGTGAGCATGTGATGTCAAGACACCTTCGTTCTACCTGGAAGACAATGACGTTATGTGACACTGAGGAGGAGGGTGTGTACTTCAAGACCAGCAGACAGAATGAGAGCTTGTTCCCTGTATGTGGTGCAGGTTGATACAGCAAGAGGGGTGTGTGGGTGTGTGGGGAACGGCGGGTGCGGTGCTGAAAATCACCGCAGCAGAGAGAGGCTGGCTTGGGCTGAGTGCTGTGCCTCTGTGACTCATGTTGTTCGCCCTACACACTTCTACCCTCCCTTCCCTCACCTCTGCCCCACTTCAGCTGAGAACCGCTGCTCTAGACTGCTCTCGTGTGAGGGCCTCCTAGGAGACAGAGTTCTTATGGGGCAACATGGCACCTTTGATTGAAAGTGAGTAACACAGACGTGAGTATAAAAATTTATAATTGTTAAGATCAGCTTGTTATCTCTCACTTATTCCTTTTTAGAGAGATCATCTTTAATGAATTATATCTCTCAAACACTGCTATTCCACATCTCCCCAATGTTGTTCATTTCCAAGCTCTTGCTGATGCTACATAAATGAACTGAATTGTATAAAGCTATCCTAGCATCCAGCTATCAGCGGCAAACCTTCTAACAGTGCATTAGTATCCAAATGAACTCACTGAGTTGTTTTAAGATGAAAGGAAAGTGGAAGGGAAATACATGTTTCAATTTTAGAGTCCCAATATGTCTAGATTTTAAAGGCAACTTCTACCGTATGTAGTAGCACAGTCCAATTACCACTATGATTCTACTACAGGGCCCAATCTGGGATTCAGGAGTCCTCTTTGGACAGATTCTACTTCCTCCCTTCTCTCATTTCTTTCAGAGTAGTAAGAAAATGTCCCCACCTGCTAAGACCTCCAAATAGAAAAGCCCATTTAAGCACATGTTCAATGTGATTGACAGACTAAAAAAGGTGGCAGTGATGGGACAGTGCACTAACATGCCCGGGGCGGATATGTGGCAACGGGACAGGGGCACTTAATTTTGGAGGTAGTGCCATCATGTATGAACTTGACTGTGTGCACTGCTGAGGTAGCAGGGCTTAGATCACACGCTCACAAGTCTTGATTGTCCAAAAAAGCCTCTGTTCCCATCTCTAACGTGGAGCTGGAATGGTTAGTATAATTCAATTTTTTTTCACTGCAATCCACATCTGATTGATTGGCAGGTCACACTGGCACTCCTACCTGAGGTATTTTAGCGCTAATGATTGGTTCCTGTAAGACTATTCTATAACAGAACACAGGAAGAGCAGTTCAAAAAACACAGCTGTGGAAGGAAAAACAATCATACAAAAAGCCCGCTAAGGGGCCCACCAGCCTTTTCTTTCCTTTGGATGCAAGCATGCTTTTCACAGGGTGACAATTAAGGAGCAGTTTGTTACCCACTTAAGTGAAGTAGGGTGAACCATGCCTTTTCTACTGGTCAAAAAAGGAAGGTGGGGGGGGGGGGGGTGGATGGACACATAATCTATGTGCTTACCCCATGGGTCTATGGGGGGATCACTTTATAAATTACAGGCACAATCGCTACATCAGTTCTCCAGAGAAGAAAGTGCATAAAAGACACAGAAAGGAAGAAAGTGACTAGCAAGGATTTCAGCCTAGGAGATCAGAGAAAAGAGATTTTAAAAACCTCCACAATTAATAGCCTAAATTACTACAACAGAACAAAAGCAGCAACTTATACTCTTTTCATTCATGTCATCTCTCAAGTTCAAAGCCTGTTCTAATTAGCTAAACCCTCCACTCTTTCTATTTCTAGCCTGCCCTCTGAGGAAACAAGAACTAACCATACCTCGGTAGATTTCCACAGATGGAAAACGCACAGAGAGAAGCAGAACAAACTCAAGGTAAAACGATAGGGCTTTCCTGTGTGTGTGTTTTTAAGACACATCCTTTGCTCCCTCACATATGGAATAGGGAATATGAAGTTCTAAAAGCTAGAGTTATATTATACCTCACTCAACAGTTACCTCATAAAGTATTCTTATTTTTCACTAGTGGATTGGGATATGATTTCAGCCTCAGTGACCAACTTTTTCCTCCAAGTAACTGCTTGAAGATAGGAAGTAAAAATGGTAATTACTACGAACTCTTTTCATCAACAAGAGGCCACGGGTCAAAAAAATATTTTGGTAAGGTCACTGGATTACTTCTGTTTAGCTTGATACGGTAATCCAGCAAGTAGATAAACAAAACTCAAGGGTATTTTCTCAACTATAGAAACATCATCTCTCTCTTAATGAAATCGCATACTGTGAACTAAGGAAATGAGAGAATTGTCAACAAATAATTTTGGTTGATTGACTTAACAAGGTGGAAGTAGACCATACTTAAAAAATCCCCAAATATGGACCATATTAGAGAGGGGGGAAAAAAACTTGACTTAAATAATTCATAAGGAAAAGTGTGCTCTAATAGAATAGATTTCAAGAAAACAACTTTAATAACATAAAGATGAGTTTCATGAGAATATGGACACTAATGTAAATGGGAGAATGTACATGCTAAGGTCGTATGTAAAATGTGTACATATAGAAAAGTGTCATTTGGTGTAAAACTAGAAAATATTTCCCTAATCCTTAAGTTTCGCTGTCAGCACAGGAAAGAACATACCTTTCCATACCTCTTGAAAATCATCTGAGGAAATAGGTGAATTTTGATTAAATACTGAGAGGTAATGAAATATGGATTAGGTGGGTTTTGTGCTTGGTTATACAATAACATATGTAATCTAGGGTGAGTCACAATCTCTGAGAGACATATCATTGAAGTGAGAGGGTTGGGCCCGAAACATGGGTAAGGTTCCTTGAAGCATTTCTCAAATTAAAGAATACTCTGAAGGTCTACTCTACACAGGACAGGTGAAAAAGTCACTTACAGTACCACGTAGGACCTTTCCACCCTAGCTCTACTTCCGGCTACACAGAGCCTCTACATGCATTCTGAAAGTGCACAAACATTTTTAGATTGCCAGAGAATCTTGGCAGATTGTGAAAATTAGTTCACTAAAAAGGCATTCTTAGTGATTTTGGGACGTAAGGGTGGAGACAGCATTTCCAGACAATTATAACCTAGGTCCAAGAAATAATTTCATGGTGACAAGTTTACCTTACAAAATTGTTTCTTAGTGATTTGGTGGTTAGACCAAGCTTGCATTCAGAAAAAGGTCATTTGGGGAGGTCCCTGTAAAAGACTTCAAAACTCACAAACTTTGACTCTTCGTCAGATCACTTTGTTCATATTTTAAATAATATGCAACAAACCAATCAGAACGTTAGCTATAGCTAGACAGACTAAGTACTGGGTTACATGTTAACATGGCTGGCAGAATCATCAAATCATGTATGATAGTCCAATGTTTGTAAGAGAAATCTAGGTTGCTAATTCTGCCACTTGTTTCCCTCTAGATGGCCCTTAAGAAAAGAGACCTACCAGTTGCAAACCTTCTAAAATAGAAGGGCCTTAGGCAAGTGAATACTGGTTTCCTCTCCTTTCCACCCACTCTTCACTGGCATCAGTTTCTTATTTTGCTTTCACACGTTAGTGCTCTCTCACAGTATGTAAAACAGGAAAAGACCAATTCAGAAAGCTCACTGCCATCTACATAAATCAAAGCTCTAATGATCTAAAGAGGGATGTGAAATGAGAAGAAAAGCAGAAAAGGAAAAGAGCTGGTTGAAGGCTAAGCTGTCCTGTCATTTATGTATGCACATGATACGACAGTAATAAAAGACTTTAAACCTGCTGATCATCTCGCAAATATGTTCGTGATCCATAGACCATCTGTGGGAAGAGGGAAGGGAAAAGAATATGTCCAGTAGACTGACTCCAGCAATGATCAGGAAACCCAAAGGCTTAGTTTGGCACCCAGGGGAAAGCGCAGTGGCAGAGAAGCATGCTTGCATTCTTAAATATATAAATATATATATCCACAAGGAAAAAGAAAACAAAAACTAAATAAATGATATTTTTTTAAAAAACCAAACAAACCAAACCAAAGAAACAGAAAAAAAAGGCTGGCTTGTCAGGGGGTGGGGTCGAGAAGGCCCCAGTGTGTGTACTTACATAGAGGTCAGCACCGTAAAATCCGTCCTGGTAAACCACACTGCAGAAAATCCACACAAAAACAAAAACAAAAAAACAAAAGAACAGAAACACATTCCGGTTATTGAGGACGGCAGCATGCACATGCGCTTTACATGGGCAGGTGATGTATGAATACACGACCTGGGCTCAGGCCAAGGCCAGTCAGTGAGGACACAAGAAAGTGCACGCACGTTACTCAGCTCCAGGACATGCGAGGAGGAAAGGAATGCAGGCTTGGAATGAACCACCTGGATGTCTGCTAATTAAAAGTAAGATAAAAACAAGAAAGAGTATTCCCAGGGGGCCTAAAACATCTATTGAAAATCTGCTGGATTGGAAATATCAACTTTTCATATCTGGAGTGTTTTTTGTTTCTAATAAGCTTGCCCTAGGAGAAAGTTTTTCTTTAAAGAGTGTCAAAAGGTGTGTGTGTGTGTGTATAGGTGGATGGGTGGGGGTATGGGGGCTAGCATGAAGAGAGGGGTTTAACATGAAAAAAATGAACCCAAAGAATTCCATTAAGGTGAGACCTAGGCTAAAGTATATTTCAAAATTATGCTTAGTATCTTGTTTTATTTTTGTAGTAATATGTAAATTTTTTCTGATATCCATACATCACCTGCTTTTTACCCTGCACATTAGACATGCGATAAGATTTGGCTGATCACACAAGCATGCAAAGTATTATTATTCAGCATTTTAAGAACCAATGCAACACCTCAGAAAAACAAGTCAATCAATTCTGACCAAAGTAAACAGAGAAATGTAATTAAAAAAAAAAAAAAACCAAAACAAAAAAACACAACCAAAAATACCCACAATGCATTGCTTTCACAAGCAGAGATAATGAGCTAATAAAGGTTAAGGTGATTGGTCCAAGGTCCAAGAATTGAAAGGTGCAGTGGGGATCCCAGATAGTAACAATATAATCCAGAGTGGGAAGGAGTAACTAGAAGATTTTAAGGGTTCTTTTTTGACCATACGAATACTCATGGAATTCTGAAAAATACAATTGTTAACTGAAGTTCTGGGCATGACCTGTTTTATTTAAAAGAATAAAACTGAAAAGGTAGCTGGTTAGGAGTAGAAGGGTTTATTTTCCTGTTTAGAAAATTAATTTGTATCAAACAAACAATGGCTCTCTTCTTGTTTTAATCCTAAGCAACATTAAAAATACAGATTTCAAACCTTTTGAGGTATTTTGTGCATTTGTGCAAAACATTACTTTGGGACCAAGAGACATAGAATAGTGGTAGAGCTAAAAGAGAAGGCTTTCTTCTTCATATTTGTTAAATCAAGATTTGTCTATTTTAAATTAGGTGTTTATTGTGTATTCAACTAAACAAATGGGAAAATTTCACTGCTACCTTCTCTGTTACAATAAACAAGTCAGCAAGTAAAATCATCACATCATATTTTTAACTTGAACATGAAATCACTTCCTCCGTATAGGTAGCAGGAAAGTTTCTGATTCTGCGTTCAGTAACATTTTGTTGTTTACAGGACAGCAGGGTGACATTCTGCAATGCCCCACATATGCTGTGCCTTTGTCTTACACAACAGGCAAGTTGAACTCATCTGTGATGTTCACTGAACTAAGTTTTATCCATTTTTAGAGTCTCCAACTGCAGCTAAAGAATGGTGTTAGAGAGCAATCTGCCTCTCAACTGCACTTTTGTAAAACGGAGACTTGTTCATAATGAGAATTCTAATAAAATGCAAAGCATAGATGCCAAGTGGTGATTAGTTAACCTTCAACTATTTCAGTATGGGGAGACAGGCAAAGATTGAAAAACATTTCTTCTACAGAGAAGAGTGGTGGCATGAAAAACATGAATAAATTTTACACTAAGTTGTGTCACTTACTAGGAATATTCAGTTAAATTCTAGGAGAATTCCAATAGTCCCTGTATCAAATGCTACAGGAGGCTAGAACACAATGATTAATGATGAAATTAGTTTACCAAGCTGAGAAGCAATTTTAGGCCATTCCCCATAAAATACTGGACTTATTCCTTGCCATCTTCCATGTAAATAGGTGGTTTAGTTAATAAAAAAGAAAACATGGGACATTAGTGTTCAATGTAATGCACAGAAATTGATGTGATTAGACATAAAGATAAAATATCTTTGATCAAATATATACCTGACACAGACTTGGTAGAGAATTGGTTCTCAAGTTTGGCCAATAGACTGAAATGACCTACATCGAACAGGAGTGAATTGAACCACTTTATAAAGTAACTCAGGAATATCACAAAATAAAGAAGTCCCATGTTTCTGTTGAGCAGAATCTCTTTGTGACCATGACGGTCAACTCTCTTGGACTGGAAGACACTTCATGAACAATTTTCCTAGTGTGTAGAGCTTCCAAAAGGTTTGTTTTTGTGTTTTAATTAAATATTTCTTGGTGAAACAATACTGCATCTTTATTTACTTCTTTAAAAAGAGATGTCAGAGGTTGAAGGTCAAAGGTCAAGTTGAGAGGTGGGGAAAAAGGGATAAAATTAAAAGTAATGGCAGAAGATGGAGATGATGGAATGCATGGGATTTAAACACCTACACACTGCAAACAAAAGTTTGTTTCTAAAGCAGTTCCCTTCTAGTGGCTTTGGAGCCTGCTCACTTCAACATGCATACTTCTCTTATCTAATAAACATGTTCTAACTTTGTGGAACGGAGGACCCCTAATGGCATGTCCATTTGGTCTATGAATGAATGCCAAATTAGCACACCTGAAAGCCAATTTTGCCATAAGAAAAGGACCTACAAAGGAGGCTCTTTCCCTTAAATTTTAACTAAGTAGCAATGAACAGGGTCCTCTGCCACTATATTTATTCCTCCGTAAGAATATGGAAAAAGCTATCACAGGCAGAGAAAAGGTGAAGAACACAAATGTCACATCTCTGAGGAAGGAAAGTCCTTGATGCAACTACCCTATAAAAAGTCCACTATAAAAATATACATGTTAGACTCACATGAGAACAACTAAAAACAAAACCTGCCATCTTCACTCCTTCTCCCCATTCAAGAACAAAGGATTTATTTGTTGCTATGGAATCAGTCCACTGCATGAGACACCCTCCATACAAAAATCAAAGGGTGAAGGATGCTCAGCTACATTAGTTGTTTTACCATCATTCAGAAGCCAACTGTAGTTTAATTCTTCCTACTTCTCCCTTTCTCCCTTGATTCAATTGGACTTGGTTCATCTTTGAATTAACCTTTTAATCCGTTTCCTACAAAGAAAGCAAATCCATTGTGGGTAACTAGCTCTGCTGCTCACCACCCAGGCAGTGAAACCAAAAGGGAGGGCACATGTGACAGCCTCAGCCCCAGCCCAGGGTGGTGAAAGGGGGTGAACACAGCAGAGGCAGTCTTGTACTACAATCTTGAACTCCTATTTTGGTTCTCTGCAGTAGTGTTAATCCATATTCGTGCGATGCTGAGTGAACTCCATGCCAACACATTGCTAGTAAACACAAGACGGTTCTGGCTACTGTCTTAAGCCACTACCTTGAGGGCTTAAGGTGGCCAAAATGAAGATTTAAATAATGAATTGATATTTGTTATATTCTGATGATGGTATATTTTGGTTCTTGCCATCTAATTCGTTAATTTGTAAATAATCATAGAATCTCTACTATGTGGCACGGCAACATCCCGGAAGTTATAAGAGGACTATGGTATTTTCTTGTCCAACTGTTTATTCTGGAATCTAATACTTACCCTGGATAGGCGGGAATGGCTGTTGGAGGTACCGCTCGCACTGCACCATACACCGTCCGCCCCCTGCCCCTCAGATGGGCTCCTCTGAAAGCGGCCGCCGTGGTGGCTGCAGTTGGGTAAGGAAATCCAGGAACTAAAGGGAGACCCAAAATATGACAGAAATGTCAACTTGCATTCAACAGTAGGAGTACAAGCACACTTGCTTTGAATCAATTACAGGAAAGATTAAAAAGTATGTACCACATCTTTTCTGAAAAAGAAAAGGGAAAGAGACCCAGGATGCAAAAGCTCACGGTAGCACGCCTCTGTGATCATAAATCTTGAGTGACCTTTCTTCGCTCCTTCCCAACGCTGGCGTCACCACGCAAGCTGGTGAGAAGCAGGTCAAGGAGCTCTAAGAGCTACCACCACAGTAAGAAAGGACACTTTCCATTTCTGAGGGCAGTTTAAATGGACTGATATAAACTCTTTAACTGGCCAATTATTAGTCTTGCTTCCAACATTATTACGTGCATATCAAAATTACTCATCATGGGAATATTCTTTTGTGTTTTTACATGGTGCGAAACTCCAAGGCACACAATAGTCTTCAGGTATTTCATCTCATTAGTCAACTTTATTCCTTTATCTAAAATATTTTAATCCAGAAATGGAAGGTGAGAGGGAAGCTACATCTCTCCTGTGGTCTTGTATCCTGTAGAGGCAGTCATTGTCTGAGGTCTGTTGTAAGTGTGCTCTCTCTGGAAGGCACGCAGACATTGATTTCATGTCTACCGAACTGTTAATTCTACTTCTTGCTGGAGCAAAATGACTCAAGTCAAAGTAACTTTGAGATATCAACAGTTGAGAATAATCAATAATCCTGGGGGTGCTTTTAAGTGATACTCTGCCAGAGGGCCCAAAGCTGACTTGTAGAGAATATGTATAATATATCCCACAAGTACTTATTTCTTTTGTTTTCTACATTATCAAGTACATACTAAAATGTTCTTTACATACCCTCATCCCCTCCGCCTTTCCAACTACTTGTACTCTGTGGCAATCTTCATGATTTGGTCAGAAGGATTCCAGCACAGGCTAAGCAGAACAAGGCACCGTGACAGTATTATCGCTCCTAAGAACACCTCCTTTTCAGTTATGTATTACTAGAGGCCTGGTGCACAAAATTTGTGCACTCTGGGGGTGGTGGTGGCGGGCCCTCAGCCTGCCCTCTTGCAATCCGGGAGCCCTCGGGGAAAGGTCCGACTGCCAGCTTAGGCGGGGAGCAGGCCTAAACCAGCAGTCAGACATCCTTAGTGCTGCCATGGAAGCAGGAGAGGCTCCCATCACCATTGCTGCGCTAGCCAGCCGTGAACACGGCTTCTGGCCGAGCAGCGCTCCCTGTGGGAGCGCACTGACCGCCAGGGGGCAGCTCCTGCGCTGAGCGTCTGCCCCCTGGTGGTCAGTGAGCGTCATAGCAACCAGTCTTCCAGCTGTTCGGTCAATTTGCATATATTAGCCTTTTATTATATAGGATACTGGCGGGGGGGGGGGGGAGGCGTGTGGAGTGGGGGAAACTTCTAGCTCATCATTGCTTACTCAACAATCAAAATTCATGCCAGGCCAACATAGGCTACTTACTGATTAAAGGAATGTAAGTGTTAATACCCCCTCTTCCTGATAGGGGCACTGCCGCTTCGTTGCCCAGGGACACATCTGCTTGAAAGCTGGATGCTGATTGTATTAAAAAAAATTAAAAAATGCACAAAAGATTACAAAGGAACAGTGAATTGCAAAACAACAGTCGTTGTTAGTTAAATAGCACACGCAGAAAAATCAATGTAAATACTACCTGCATATAACTCGGGGCCATATACAGCTCCAACTACTGGGCTTAATTTCCAACCTGAAATGGAAGAGAGGACGGTGAGCATTTAAGACGGCGTGAGGATATAGGGAAACGGAGTGATGTGCAAGTTGGCTTCAGACATCTCTGGGTTTATTTTTGTCTATCCTCAACTTTTCTTTCGAATGCCAACCGGGGTTTATATGAAAGAGCGATGACATTTCTACACCTGATTATCTTCAAGTAGGACTGTGATGGGATAATGTGCGGGGGCGGGGGGGGGGGGGTGAGAGGGAGAGGGAAGGGATAAAAGGAAGGAGAGAAAAAAATTGGGAGGGAGGTAGGAAAATGGAAAGGGAATGAGAGAAGGAAAAAGAAAATTAAACAAATCTTGGCATTTGGTACAGTGTCTCTTACAGAATTGCCTAACAACCTATTCTTTGTTTAGGAAAAGGAAAAAGGCAAAATATAGTATGTGTCATTCTATATCACACTTTTTTATGTATCGTCTTAACACTATGTATTACTCTAGTTGTTATATAAAGGTGCCTTTTGACTGAATTCAAATTTGACCTGGATCTTTGCATTCCATGTTCGATTATACCATGTTGACAGGATTTTGGGTAAACTGAAATCTCCTTTCACTGAGATTTACCATTGGGATTTCATTGGAGTTAACCAAGTGAACAAGGAGAAACACTCAATAATAAAATTGAAGCTATATTCCCAACTTCAATGCATGTCCTGAGATTTTAATTTGTAATAAATACATTTAAGTTCATCAGACTTTTAAAAGTTACTAGACTGCTGAACATTAGGTTAAACATTTATAAATTTTAAGTATTTCCAAACATTAGGTTTGGTGTCAATTGAATTTCTTCATTCCCTTTTTATATTCATAGGAATATGGCAAGTGTTAAATAAAGTGTACTAATGCCCACTGTTAAAGATTGGAATTACACATAAAAACTTTAATCAATAAATATTTATTGAATTCAAATATGCCCTATTGTGTTTCTGAAAAACTAGCTCTTTGGTTTACTTCTTTGATATTAGTTTAAGGGCCTAACATTGTGCCACTGTTACTCTATAAAATTATAAATGAAAAGAAGAAAAGGTCAATTATCAGATTTAAATGGCTACATTATTCAAGAGAAAACCCATTAATTCTGAATTAATCCAATCCCCATTCATTATTTTATGTGCTCATAGACATTGCCCTTCATTATTCTACATAAATATTGTGCCAAATCTGGGTTCAAATCCTACTGGAATTGTAAGAGCACAAATGTTCTGCAATGTCAGACAAATAAGTGTTTCCAACCACCATCAACTGAAATGCTGAGAATTCACCAGAAGGGCACCCAGCACTCTTGTCACAACTGTTAACATGACAGAGGCAGATTTCTAAAATGTGGCTCCATTAGGCCTGAATATTGATTTAGAATATTCAAAAATGACCCTTTTCTTTCCTGCCAATGGCACTATTACTTAAGTACTTCCTTTAAATGCATATAATGGATGGACATTATAATAATGGTATGCTGTCAATAATATATTGAATATGTCCAGTTTTGTATAATTTACAATGTATTTTCACAGATGTTTATTCATTTTGTCCTTCACAAAACCCAAGATAGGTACCACTTGTGGGACAATGAGGAAATATTATATTTCTCTGGTTTCATGTCCTAAATAATAATAAGCTAAGAGGGTTGGATTTTGATGACTTCTAAAGAGCTTCCTGGTGCTAAAATTCTGTGACTGCAAATTTACAGAGATTAAAACAGAATAAGATAGGAAATTGGCTCATTGTCACAGAGTAAAATGAAGAGTCAATCTAGAAGTAGAATTTCTATCTTCTGAATTCCAGTGTCTCTTTCTGCCACACCACCCTCCCAGGATCTAAAGGAAATCTGACATACTTTGCCTCTCCCATTAAAAAAATTTTTTTTGCTCCACAATGGGTTTTTCTCCAAGTTGCAGACATTGCCACTTTTGTGAGAGCAGTGCAAAGAAGAAAATATGAGGTAAAGGGGGAGGTGGTGGTACCACATGATATACCACTGATAAAATAAGTAGGGAAAATGCTAATTATGCTGATTTGTGTCATCTGTTTGAAAAGCTGGGTTAAATATATTTATTGAAGACTTTGTGGGATATACTTCTATTTCGTTTAAGACATTACCAGAACATACTGTTACTCTAGCAGTTAGGTTCAGACTTTCACAAAGCACTTACAAGGGAGAAATCCCCCCTTTTATAATCTAGATAAATCTTGCAGAACTCTAAAATAGAAAAGAGATCAACCGAAGGACTTGTATGCATGCATATAAGCATAACCAATGGACATAAGACACTGTGGGGTAGGGGAGGCCAGGGGATTGTCAAGGGCGGGGAAAAAGGAGACATATGTAATACTCTTTGTAATACTTTAAGCAATAAAACAATAAAATAAAATAAAATAAAATAAATAATAAAAAAAAATAGAAAAGAGAATGAGTTGCTCAGACTAAAGTAGAGCTGGAGGCCGCAGGACCCAATCCATACAGTTTCCTTCCCCCCCCAAGGTGGTCCTATAGAGCACAATTTGTAAACCACTGCTGCAGAGCAGATTAAAATGATATCCCATCTCACTTAGAGAACATGAGTCTAGATTAAATTTGACAACTGATGTAAAAGTTTCTTCTGTTAGACAAAATAGTCACAGAAAAATTTCTTCTCAATAAAAAAGATTTGTAACACTCACTATATGACATGCAGTCATGGAATAGAAAATAGAAGACACACACACACGTACACTATGGCTATTACCTCTAGAAAAAAGGAGAGCTAAGTGTCAAGAATTACTCTACTCATGCTCAAATAAATAGGAATTAGCAGTAAAAGTGAGAATTGGTGGGCATCCAGGGGTATTATGGACAAGCCTAATAATGTATTACAGAGAACTACAACAGCCAAAAAAGAGGGTGCTGTAGTGGGACCTAACCTGAGTTAAGAGGTAACCTCAAATGACACATTCACACTGTATATCAGATGAACTTTACTGAGACCAGAACACCTTAACAACTAAAAAATTAGCTTAATTCTAAGAAAAAAGTGAAATTCTAAAAAAACAAAATACCCTCCTAGGTAAATGAAACAAACTGTCTTAAGACTGAAATCAAGAGATTCTTTGATGTTTATAAAAAGCTCATTATTTTCACAAGAATAAATGGCATTATTCTGATGATGATTAGTAATCTCTTACCATTTGCATATGGTGTGACCATCTTCTTATTGGTCATTACACGTGCTGTAGCATTATTCACCTAAAAATAGAAGGGGCAAGGGGGAAGTAGACCACATTAAGAAACATGATATTGTTTGTCCAATAACATAGTACTCAATTAAAAAAGTAAATTTCAGAGAACATTGATTTAAATAATATAGCAATATAAAATATTAATGTATAATATTTTAATTAAAGTGTTTATTAAATGAGGCTAACAAGAGTAAAATGCAGTTTCTTAGTCTCCAATGGAAAACTAGGGCCACTATACCACCCAGTACTCCAAAGAAAAAATCCATTTATAAGTACCTTGGAGATTTCTTAAACAGAGAAGTCTCTGCATTAAGAAAAATATGGGGAAAACAGTAAATTAGAAACAACTGTTTTCACATGAACTCTGAAGTAGTTCCTTAATAAAAAGGAGGACATAGATTTACAGGAAGATAAGAAAATAAGTCTGTAAATTTCATCTATTCTAATGTTCAGCATTTTTGGTATGTTTGTATAAGATTTTACTGTTTGAAGTTAGTCAACAAATATAGGAACTTAGATTTCCATGTTGACAGTCTTCAGAACCATCGTGAATTTTCTAGACCATGTGGTCTATCCATTTATGAATCAAGTTTTCAGAAGGCCTTTAGATTAGGCACTTAAAAGAACTGAAAATAATAAAGCGTATGTCTCTTGTTGTATGGTACTCTCCACCCTCATTACAGAATGGCATAATTCAAAGCGTTGTTGGTGCCAGGGCAAGACGGTGTTACAGAGATGGTGCTGATGAAGAAAGATGAAGCAGCCCAGTGGCAGAACCAGCCTCAAAGCTCCGACCAGGAGGTGAAGCCTCACCACACAACTTGATTAAATACTGTGCTGCCAGGTCATAAGACAGGCCAGTTTTGGGAAAAAAAAGAAAGAAAGAAAGAAAAAAATATCAAATATATAAAATATAAATGTCTTATTTTGCCTCTGGGGACTTACATAATCCTAAATTTGTATAGTGATAAATTTATGTTACAAAAAGACCAATTTTAGGTAGAACAGGAACTTAAAAAATGCTTTAATATGTCTTTTAGGATTTGTATAGTGGTAATATTCCTATGTGAGGAAAAGAGCTTGAAACTCCATTTACTCTGGTTTGACCCACCAAATAATACAAACATTTCACATTTAAAAAGAAAGAATGGGATACAACAATGATGAGACTGGGAGCATGCTGTTAAAAACACACACACACACAAATAAAAGGGAAAAACAATCACTTTTGGGGAGAAGGGAGAAAGTGAAGAGCAAGGCTCTCACAGACAGGAATGAGAATGAGGCAAGAGCTTACACTAGCTGCTGGAGCAGAATGCACCCAAGCACTTAAAAAAAAAAAGGCCAGAACCAATCAGAGACCACCAGTCAGCAAAAGAGACCAATAGCTGCATGTAACAGAGAGAAAGGGTGGGAAAGGAAACGGGGAAAGGACAGGAACAGACTTGGGTAAAGAGAATATAAAGGCAGGGAAAAGAGAAAGTCAGGGCAGGAAGGAGAGCCATCAAAGGCAAAGGAAGAACAGTCAGCTCTGAACGGAGGTTTGGGAAAGAGGACAAGTAGGAAAGGAAGTAGGGGCAGGAAGTGCATTAATAAAACCAGCCAAACTGGAGTTGAGTAACTCTGAGTAAGATGTGCAAGGGGGACAGTCACCATGACGTCAGTATCAAACAGCTCAGATGCTACAAAACAATGTACATCCAAAGTCCAGGCGGCATTACCCACAGCATTGAAAACAAAAGGGGGAGGGGAAGGGAGAGGAGCAACAAGTCAAATCACATTTTGTCGTGTTAATGTGAGATGGCAGATGGACTTTTTCTTTCTTGCTTAATTGTTTTGTAATTACATTTTATAAAGCTTCTTCTCTAGTGCTTTGGTTTCACTTACCGCCAACGGGCACCATCGCCAGCATTGTGTATAGTTACCATGGAAAGAGTGAGTCAAGTGAAGGGCCCTTAATGCTAAACCATTGGAAAGGGAGGGGGAAAAAAAGCAAAATATGCAGACATCTTACTCAAAATGGTGGCTTTTATATTTCATACTTCTCAAAATTGGGAAAGGGGAAAGGAGCCAGTTAACCTTCATTGCCTTATTAAATAAGAAGGGCTGGTGAACACAGGTGGCTGACTCAACCACAATGATAGTCCATTCACCAGGCAACCGCCAAACCCTCTGTTTGAGGACTTTATCCATTAACTGTTGAAATTCTTGACATTAAATATATTTGATGAGTTGTGGATTCTTTCCTCCCTCCCAACAACCTCTAGGATCTTCTATTCCTTGCTTATCACACACATGGAGGCGAACTGGCCTCCTGAGAGAGAGGGCATTGGCTGGCCCCTTGATTTATTACAGGACACAATGTTATCAACTGGATAGAGATAGACATTTTTAAAGTTAGTTTTATATTGGCCTGATCATAGGAATTTGGAGTCTGGCAAACTGAAGCAAAGGAAAAAAATCAAGAGAGCAAAGGATGAACACCTTGGAGGAAAAAAGTAAATGAAAAATACCCAGACACACACACACACACAAGTAACACAAAATTAAAATTCCCAAACAAAAAAGGCAGGGAGGATAGAAGTGTTGCTTTTATACATTTTAGTGCAAGAAGGTGAAGGACAGAGACACAAACACACATACATGTGTGCACACACACAAACAAGACAGGGCTCCAAATGTGAAATAAGTGAGGCAATACACAAAAAGAGAAACAAAAATATAAACCAGAAATTGAATTATTGAAGACATGCACCTCGATTTTACGGCCCTCTACCACGGTGCCGTGTAATTTCTCCCTGGCCCTGTCTGCATCAGCACTATTCTCGAAAGTTACGAACCCGAATCCCTGCATGCAGCGGGAGAAGGGGGGAAAACATGCACATCGTTATATTGAAATACTGATCTCGTGGTCAATAGAGAACAAAATATCACAGTTTGAAACTGACATCAGCAACAACTCAGCAATATGCTCCCGAAGTCACATTTTTGGACCATGCATATTTTGTAAAGGGAAATTAAGTCCAGTAAGAGAATAAAGAACTGTTGTGGTAGTAGTAATAATAATATAATTATCAATAACAATAAAATAAAACATAAAGCATGTGAGGCCAGACCAAAATTAAGGTATACAGTTACTCGGGTCAAATTATTCAACCAAGAATCTGAGTATTTTTAAAAAATATCCTACTTTTCTTTCTCATTTCATGCTGTTAATATACATGTTTCTTTATGTAATACTAAGAAAATACTTCATTAAATCAATTATTCCCTAGTAACTTTTACATGAAAACTGATATTTAAGTATCATCATTATATAATGAGATTTTAAAGATGTCTAATCATTTGAGCCCCCACTCTGCCTCCTGCTTGTACCACCTTGGAAACAGGATAATTTAAGACATAATCTTGATGTATAATTCTGTAAGTATTGGGTATGGTAAAAAAAAGCACTCATGTTTGTCTAAGCAAATGAAACTATCACTAAACAGTGGTCAGTCAATGATGACATTTCTTCAGTGACACTTTTAAAAGACCACACTGGCACTAGAGTGGCACTAGAAGGGTGGACAAAAGTAGGTTTACAGTTATAAGTACATGAAAGTGTATTATTTAACTAGAGGCCCGATGCACGAAATTTGTACAAGAGTAGGCCTTCCTTCCCCTGGCTGCCGGCACCAGCTTCCCTCACAGCCCTGGCTTCGTCTGGAAGGTCGTCCGGTCTAATTAGCATATTATGCTTTAATTATTATAGATTACTAAGAGGCCTAGTGCACCAACTTGTGCACGGTGGGGTCTGGCCAGCCTGCCCTGATCAGGGCTGATCGGGCCGGCAGACCAGGGGAAGGGGCCACGAGCGGTCGGCTGGCTGGCCCCGCCCCCTGGACGAACTCCTGGTAGAAGGGACAATTTGCATATTAGCCTTTTATTATATAGGATTGTATTATTTTCCAAAGGAACAACTATAAGACTATTTCTGCCCACCTTTGTATGTTCACCTTAATTTCAAAAAATTGCTTATCCAAATTTGCCTAAGTTGTACATTTGTTGATGCCTGCATCTGCTACTAAATATGTTAGCAATTTTCCATATATGGAGAAAAAAAGGAATAGTCAAAAAAGCAATGGAGCCCTAACCGGTTTGGCTCAGTGGATAGAGCGTCAGCCTGTGAACTCAAGGGTCCCAGGTTCGATTTCGGTCAAGGGCATGTACCTTGGTTGCGGCCACATCCCCAGTAGGGAGTGTGCAGGAGGCAGCTGATCGATGTCTCTCTCTCATCGATGTTTCTAACTCTCTATCCCTCTCCCTTCCTCTCTGTAAAAACTCAATAAAATATATATATAAAAGCAATGGAAATGAGATCTATGTTAGTGACATCAGTTGCATACTATTCAACAGGAAAAGAATACCATAAAACAGTAATACAGTTGCTACCTTGAATTAGGATCAATTTATTTGTGCATTGTAGATACTGAACAACAAAAACCCATGAAGCTTTACTTCACTACGTGGACAAAGCAGGAGACCAGGGAGTTAACCCACTTTACTGTTCGAAGTGTATTTGAAAAGACTGCATGGGTTTTAATCATACTGTTAATTTCAACATCAGCAGGATTTACTATGTTCTTATACAACTCTTTCATAAAGCACTATATCAGTTTCATTTTAGGTACAACTATAAAATTGTCTCAAGTTATTTACATCCGTAGAGTGGTAAATTTTTAGACATTTCCGGGAAAGGCCTCATTTCTCAATAGCTCCCGTGTTCCTCTAGCATTCTTTAAACACCATCGTAGGGTAACCTGGAACCCTTTGTTACTCAAGTTCTGTTTTACAGTTATTACCATGAGTTCTCCTGTATACACAAAACATGTTCTTAACTGAGATGGTAAACAGTGTAAATTGCTCAACAAAATTTTATAAAAGCAACTCCATCATCGTGAAGGATCAGATCACTCAGCATTCTAAAGGATTATATGGCTGGACAGCGAACCATGGAGGATTCCAATGGATCATCTCTACCTTCAATTTGGATATCACCATAAATACCCTAGAAGGTGCAATGCTAAGCTGATAGGAAATTTTCAACGTATGTTGGCTTGGGATGGAATATTACAGGTAAATTAGTTAACACTTCCCTTAAAAAGAAATAAATGTGTTGAAAATATCAATGGGAACACATTTTGAAAACCAAATTTTGATGTTAGTAAGTATAGGTATACAAGAGCAAGTTACTAATTAATTCCACCATTTGTTGTCTATACTAGATCTGCTGGAGATGAAACCAGGTCTCCAATTCTGGAGAATCCTCCAGAAAGTTAAACCTTTTAAGAGAGGTCAGAGATAGCGATGAGTTTTATATCACATTTTAGAAGTATTATTAGCTGTAAAGCTGTAATCCAACTGTTAGCTACAGACTCATACATTTTATGCCTTGGATAAAATTAATAAATTAATACTTATATAATGAATTATGTGCAGACTAAAGCTAGGTTTTTAATTTGAGCATTAAGACTATATCTATATACATATATACATACATAGATGTTTGCCTTTTAAGCAAAACCATGGGACAGAAAGGCTAAACCTGCTGGTTTCATTTAGAAGGTGAAGAAACGAAGTCACACTGAGGTTAAGTACTCAATAAGCAACAAGGCTCAAAGCATCAATTAGGCTTCTTCCATGTAGCTTCTTCCTACGCTAATGGTGAGGAAATTAAAATTCAGCTTTGAAATCCAAGTTCAGTATTCTATTTACTAAACCACATTAGTCCCCAAATCCTTTAATTTTCTTCCTCAAGTCCAATTGCTAAGTGTGCTCTATGACTCTCCTTTCTGGATGTGCAGGTAGGACACCTGGGACATGACAACTGCATCTCCAACAGAACACAGGGAGGTGTCACCAGCACTGACACTGTGCGGTCAGCAATGACCAAGGTTAACACCCTGTGTAAGATTTCTGTCAATAATGACTTTAATATTCTGGAACAAAATTTCACTTTCAAATGCTTTAAAATTGGTTTTAAAAGAAAGGTGCTTATCTGTCAAAGGAAATGCTGATCGAGATACCAAAGACAGGACAATAAAGCCATCTTTACAGACATCCTCACCTAGGGTAAGAGGAGGAAGGCCTTGGAGATACTGATCTGAAACAGAAATAAGAGGATTTCTTTCTTTCCTTTGAAGATAAATAGACCTTGTGGCAGACAGAATAGTGCCCCTAACCCCCTTGTCCTAATCCCTGGAACCTGTGAATGTTACCTTACATGGCAAAAGGGATTTTGCAGGTGTGATTAATGATCTGGAGATAGGGAGACTATCCTGGATTATCCAGGTGAGCCCAGGGTAATCACATGGGTGCCAATATGTGAAAGAGGGTAACAGCAGAGTCAGAATCAGGGTGCAGCAGCCTGAGAAAGACTGGATACATTTGGAAAGGGGCTGCAGGCCAAGGAATGTGGGCCGCCTCCAGAAGCTGCAAAAGGCATGGAAGTTGATTATCCCTAAAAATTACCGAAGGAATGCAGTCCTCCAACACTTTGATTTTAGCCTGGAAAGATCCATTTTGCACTTCTGTCCTCCAGAACTGTAAGATAATAAATGTGTGTGGTATTAAGCCACCACATTTGTGGCAAGTTGTGCAGAAGCAATAGGAAATTAATACACCTCACAGAACTAAAGTCTGATTGGGAAGGTGAAACGCATGACAGCATTTTAAATGTATCGGCCTTAAAACGTTTTTCTCTTATGTTGAAACGTCAAATGTAATTTTCCATCAACTCAACTTAATGTTTGTTTATCTATCACATTTACAATTTTGTTTCAAGAATATTAATTCAAATAAAGGCTAAAATTTTGTTTTAATATACTATGTTCTTCAATAAAACGTAACATTTTTGAAAATGTGCAAGGAATTGAGCTAAGGATATTCACAGATTATCTGGGCTTAAAAAGTTACTAATAGGAAAGTATGCTTATATGAAATGATGTTTTCATGTGCCTTCATTCTTAGAAATCTAATTCACATTAAGTTAGGCCATTCAGAGCTTTTGCTTTGAAAAAAATTAGTAAAATTATGTCCAATCCTAACATTTTCCTTAGAAGAGCTTCAAAATGAGCAATATATCAAACAGGGAAACGTTAACCGCTCTGATTAGTTTCAAAGTCAAACTAAGGTTTAATGTCAAACTCTTAACAAGAGAAAATATATCAGGGATGTAAGAAAATAAAAAACAGATAAAAAGTAAACCTTTATTTTAATTTAAAAAATCATGTTGATATGTTTGTCAACACCAGCACTATCAGACAGAAATGTAACACAATTCACATATAATTTAAAATGATTACTAGCCACATTAAAAAGTAAAACTAGGTAAAATTAATTTTAATAATGTATTTTATTTAACCGAATATATACAACATATGAGTGAGATGTCTGACATTCTTCTTGTGTGTTAAGTCTTTGAAATCGGTGTGTATTTTACACTTAAAGCACATCTCAATGTACACTCGCCACATTTCAGGGGCTCAACAAGGCCACTATACTGGACAATCCAGGTCTATATGCTTTATACTTTTACCTAAGGTTCTCAGTTCCCAAAGTCCTACTATGTGAACAAATTAAACACCCATGTTACATTAGTGATTACCAGCTCTCTTTTGGAAATCGAGGAATAATGTGGTTATGGGTTGTGGTTAAAGCTTCTTCCGAGTGTGACAAAATGTTATCACCTGCCTTGACATCATTAAGGGCAAAGAAGCCGAATAACTGTCACCTTTTTAGTCTGGCCTCAGACTGCAATAAATAACAAGCAATAGGATGAGCACCGTGAACGTATTTTTTAATTTGTATAATCTTTGAATTTTTCCATCTCAGAAGAATGAGAAAGAAAATTTACCATGTAACTTTTTAGGGAGAAATCAAAAGCAGACGGTTCTCCTGGGTATGGCCAGAACACAGAAATTAAAAAATAAATAAAAGAAAAAGAAAACTAAAACCCATAAAATGGTAACAAAAGAAAATAAACTAAACCCTTTGGAAATACATGCACTGTTAATTCAGTTTTAAGTACTATGAAAACCATTTCATCTCAGCATTACCTGTCAATTTTACTGAAAATTACAAATGCTGACTTAGTGCAATTTCAGACAGTCTTTTGACCATATTTATAAATAAATAAATAAATAAATAAATAAATAAACAAATAATCTCCTTTTCCATGAAATCGAAAGCCAGGGAAATATAGGAGAAGTTAGAGCATACTACGTGTGTCTGAGGAATGGAAATAGAGGTTTTATCTTCCCTAACTCCAGCTTAAACTTTAGCCTAACCCAAACCAGACAGATCTCCATCATTCCAGAAATCCACCTGTGAAGTAATAACACATCAACTTAAAAATTTCCTAGCAATCTCAACAACTGTTGCTGTGCTCTATTTTGTAGTCCTTTCATCAACTCAATAACTGGTACTGTCTGAAGAAGTAAAGAGCTTCTACACATTCAGTATTATAATACATACATGTCCTTTCAAGTGACAACTCTACCGAAAGTATGTTGAAAAAACTTTATGAAAAATATAAATGTTAGAATATGTGTACTTCTTTATTTAATAAATTTGATAAGTATCACAAATTATTATAGGGCTGGATGATAATGAACAGGATGGTGGGAAATCTGAATTTCAACAATGGAATAAACTTTGAAAAGCAACAAGTCTGCAGGCTCTAAAAGTGTCTAGCAGAGAATGCAAGGTCAAGAGTACTGGGGATTGAACTAGGTGACCCTTATTTAGAGTTCTGTTTAAGATTCTATGTGAGAAAAAAAGACTGCAAGGAAATATGAGAATATTAGTGAATATTCTCTTTAGTGAGATATGTATGCTTTTTTTCTTTCTATTTCTCATTAACATCATGTTTTCCCTTTATAATCATTTTTAAAAGGGTGCTTTTTAAAAGTTGTCACTCAAAGGACAATATAATTTACTGTTCAAACTGGCACTTTAAGGGGAAAAAGGGGCATTATTAATAATTATGTTCAGACAACAGGTATAAAAACTGGGATTGTCCTAGATAAACCAGGACCTATGGCCAGTTACCTATATCTTCTTGTTTATATTAATACTGGGTTATATATGGTGAAATTTGGAGGATCAATAAAGCTACACAAGCCTGTACAATCCTTTTCTAGATTCTGTTTGAGTACCTTAGTTAATATTTTGGCAGGGGTACCATTTTTCATCATATATCCTAATTGAACACTTTCAAAAGGATAGTCTATCTTTGTTTCAGTTAATCACAAAAAATTAAATACAGCTGACTTTATATTTATACAAAAGAATAGGGAGTAAAAAAGATTTTTTTAAATGGCATGAAATAATTTAAATGCGCAGTGTGCACGTGTAAACATGCAAATAATACATATTTGCTCCATAATCTAGGTAAACCAAATGCACAATATGAAGGTCAAAGAAGAAAAAAAAAAAGTCAGCAACAAACGGACAATTACTTCCTGGAGCACAGAAATTCTACTCTGCAGGCAAGCTGTAAAGGCAGAGTATTGGCAGGCAGGAAGGCACGGGCATGGCAGCATCACAGTGCCCACTTATGACTTTAAGTGGGGATATTCTAAACCCCTGCGCTGAAAGTCTCATTACAAAAAATAAAACATGGCAAAGAGTTGCTTTTGTTTTAGAGCCATTTGGTTAAATACTGCTTTACAAGTAAGTATTACTTATCTCAGAATTAATTTGTGACTAGTTATTCCATTACTGCTTAAAAAAATTTTTCAATAAGGCTAATTTCTGTACAGAAAGCACTCTTAAAGACTGAATGACTCTTAACTGAACAATAGGACCACATTAAGTTTCCTTTTCTCAGGTTCCTTTCAAGACATGTAATTTATAGTCAACTCCAAACATATTAGAAATGAAAAACTAAACTTAATTTTAAAAAAAGAAAAGTATTGTTTAATTTATCTTCGGTGGATTCCAGAAGAGGTATCTAGGTTTGACTCCAACATAAATCTCTATTAACGAGTCTAAAACAGTTCCAGAGGAACCCATTTCAGCAAAGAACGTTAGGTGACAACAGAAGGGCAAGGATGAAAAAGGGTTCTGCACCAGTCCTTGTAGACAGATTCAAGACAACCCCAAATTCTGTGCTTTGTTTTAAAACATTTACCAATTAGTAATAGTCTGTCTTCCCTTCAGCAGCCCAAAGGAAAAGGGCAGTGAGGACACAGCATGGAGCTGAGAGAGGCAGCATATGCTTTTAGATTTCCCAAAGAGAAGAGGAAGACTTATGTCCTTTAAAAATGAAAATTATAGGGGAGAAGCAATTGAATCGGGTAAATTTAAAAATCCTTGAAGTCAATGAAAGAAGCCTTAAGAAAGATCAATTTCCTTTGCTTCAAAGAATTCAATTAAATTATTTTCTTGGTAAGGAGCCTGATGAAATTATATTGGGCTTTCGGTTGTTAAGAGTCTTGTTAAGGATATTTTAAGTGCATACACTTAAAAGCCAAAAACATTTAAACTGCTACTTTAGATAAACAGTGTAGTCAATAATCTTCACATTTATTTTACATTCATGTGCTTCTCATCTCTAAACCATTGTCATTGTTTCACCTTGTATCTAAAAAGGTCACAAAAAATAAAAGCAAACTATATGACAAAGAAATAGAAATCCATTGTGAGGAAATTACAAGCATAGTTTTACTGGTTGCAGTTTGAATTGGTTTCACTTTAAAAATACTTACCAAGGAAGTGCTGGAGAAAATTCTGTATAGGCATAGTAATCTTTTTTGTTTTAACAGAAAACTGGAAGGTATATAATTACCTCTTTAATACTAAAAAATAATTATTATGGTAAAAATTAAACACTTTTAGTGTTGATGCATTCTATAAAGGAAGGGAATAATGATCAGGAGCATTAGAACAGTACATACATTTGTATTGGTACAGATGGGGGCAGCAGGTACATAACTCTGTAGAGAGGTGGTATTAATTTGGAATAAGAAATTTGAGAGATAAATACTAAGTTAAATAGAGCAAATAAATGAGTTTTCAAATTACATTCTTAGAGATTTAATCATAGCCAAGGGCTATTTTCAAAATTCAGTAGAGATGACCCAATGAAAAGTAATTAAAAAACTGGTCTTACCTAAAAATGTCAGAACTGAACATAGCAAGGTAAATATTTGTAAGCTTGGCCACAGCTGATTGTGTCTGTGGGTGTATTTAATTTGTTAAGAAGGAAGAAAACTTTCAAGTAAAACTTTCCAAAATCCAGTTAATCAGATCTTTTCTCATAATGCCATTGTAAGACTTTACCAATCACTCATTCCTAAAAACACCGTTGCTCATTTTAGTGTATAAAAATTCTAAATCATACACATTGGAAATTTAATAGTAAATTATTAAGGGAAAATGTTTTAATTAAAAATATTTCAGTTCTTATATAGAACACATTTAGAAGAGAATACACATATCAATTTGCACACTGTTACTTCTTTAATTCTTATGCAAAAAAAAAAAAAAAAATCACTCACTGTATTCTGCAGCTGGCCTGTAAGGCTTTAACTTAAAGGAGGAAATCAGTTCATAGTGAAGTCCTGAGTCATTATACTCCCTGCAGTTAAGTCTTGTCAAAATTCATTCGAAAGAGAGAGCAAGTTAACTGAATAACTGAAATATTAAATTTTTTCTAAATATGTCATTTCAAAGTTCTATTTTTAAAGCTGATTTGTTCTGATACTTCAGAATAGAATTTTCATAGAATTTCACTTTTCCTTTAATATAAGAAGCGTAGGGCAAACTGAAGTCTGATGAAGGACTGGTGTGTCCTACATCCTATTTTCCTGACTGCCACACTCTCCCCTCCAACTCCTCTTGCTTCTGTCTCATCACTCTCCTGATTTAGGTATCAAGATAAAGTTTGGCCATGTGGCAGCTTATTTTTAGAGATAATCTAACCCAAGCTAGACAGGAGCATTTTTGCAGGCTTGAAAAACAGCTTAAGTTTTCTGACTACTTACTGTTTAAAATAAAACAAAACTAAAATAACAAAAACAAGCTGACTTAATGCTGAAATGGAGCTTACCTTGGAGCCGCGTTCATTAAAGATTATTTCTACATCTAGGATTTTGCCAAATTGCTGCAGAGACAAAAATAAAAACATTTGTTTATGGTCAGCTTTTTATCCACATACTTTACTTTCGTCTGAAAAAGAAACAGGCCTCCCATCATCCCCTCCAAATACCTATTTAACATCCATGTTTCTACTTGTTGGTGGGCCCCGATGCCAGTTTCTGAGTTTTCCTCACCGAGCTGAGCATCTCTCCTTTTCCACTCGGTTTTCATTCCCTCATTCATGCACTGCCCACTGTGCGGGGGACGCTGTCTTCAGAATATATTCAGAGAGTTTTCCTACTACATGCTTCTTCACACGGGCAAGAACTAGGGATTCCCCCACTGCATCTCTAATTTTTAAATGTCTGTTTTAAGAAGTAAATCCTACGTAGAAAGATTTGAAGGCTGTTTTGCTTCCCCTTATTTTTCTTTAACTTATGAAAGTAAATCATGTTCATTATCACCTCCAATCCCACCACCTTAGTTCTGGTGCACAGCCTTCCTGGCTCTTCCTTAGGCATATAACTATTTCCACATATACTTTTATTTAAAAAAAAAAAAACTTAATATACTATGAACAACTTTCCAAGTCAATAAATATATATCTGTGTTATTTCTATAGGTTACATGCTATTTTCCATTATACTTAAACTTTCATAGACATTATGTATGATCTCATTTATTTGCCACTTTAATCTTTCTGCATTGAACACCATCAAGAATATTTTAAATAGTAACTTTGCTTTGTAATTAGTTAAATATTTTAACATTTGGAAAATCAAAACAAAGCTAAAACTACAAAGCCTAATAACTATTGTTAGGTAGCTAACAGCTGACTAGAGGGCATACACAACACAGTAATTATTTGGAGAAGATGTGTATATAGAGACAAAACTACCTGTGCTAATCAATCCTCGGATAAACTGCATTGAGGGGAGGTGCAGTAAATCTCCAGATATCTTTGTAGCTCACACTTCTCTCTGAGTACTAAACTCATATACCCAATTATCTATTTCACTTGGATTTAAAACCAGACTTTGGGAAATGTGCAAAAATTAAAAAATAAAAAGAGCAAAACAGAAATCATGCTTTCTCATTGGGCTAAAACATTATTATCATTATAAAAAACATGTAGTAAGAGCCCAAGTTTTCTATAATAAGCTTCTGGGCTTGTTTCTTGTTTCACCATTTAATAGAAAATTAGAAACATCACGGGAAGAGGAGAATGTCTTTATTTTGGATAGAAGAGCATTTTGTTTATTCCTATACCTATCCCATAAAACTAAGATTTGTATAGTGTTTTAGAGTTTGTTTTCTTTTCTGTTTTCTAATGCGTCCTCATAGCATCCTTCTAGAGTCAGGACTACTTCCCCTTTATGGTTAAAAAACGAGGCTGAAAGAAGCTATTTTTCAAGTTTACAGAGCTTATAAAACGGAGCATGTAATCTATGCTCTATCCCAGGGGTGGGCAAACTTTTTGACTCGAGGGTCACAATGGGTTCTTAAACTGGACCGGAGGGCCGGAACAAAAGCATGGATGGAGTGTTTGTGTGAACTAATATAAATTCAAAGCAAACATCATTACATAAAAGGGTACGGTCTTTTTTTTTTTTTTTTTTTTTAGTTTTATTCATTTCAAACAGGCCGGATCCGGCCCGTGGGCCGTAGTTTGCCCACGGCTGCTCTATACCAACGCAACTGTCCTTCTAAGTCAGTGATGGCGAACCTCTGACACGCGAACTCATTTTTTTGGTTGATTTTTCTTTGCTAAATGGCATTTAAATATATAAAATAAATATAAAAAATATAAGTCTTTGTTTTACTATGGTTGCAAATATCAAAAAATTTCTATATTTGACACGGCACCAGAGTTAAGTTAGGGTTTTTCAAAATGCTGGCACGCTGAGCTCAAAAGGTTCGCCATCACTGTTCTAAGTAGTAGGTACTAACCACGTGGAAGAAGACAGAGCAACCAGGTATCTATCCTTGCAAGGAAATTAAATTTTTATGCACTTAGTGCCTTATGGGAAGGGTATAATACATTTCAAGAAAGCACTGTTAAGTGGCCTGGGCAGATCTTCAATGGAAAACACACTTTTGACAAGAGAATGCACTCTATTTTCAGAGCTTAAAATTCCATGTTATCTCTGACAATTCAGTAGAAAACCTAATAACTCATACTCCTGGGAAGTTTCTTCCCAAATGTAACCGGAATTCTTTATGCTGCATTTATATCTTCTGTTGTGCTCTTTCCTGTAGAGATGGAGACCAGCTGCTACCATTTTCTCTGTAAAACCTCTCTTCCAAGTTCTTCAATATTATCATTAATCTCAACCCTGGCCTTGCATTCAAAGTGCAACACACATCCAGGTAACCAGCTATAAGTGACAGAACTTTGCTCCAAGGTATTGTCGCCATGAAGTGGCCTAGACTTCAGGAAGAGGATTTGGTTTTCTGACAAAGCACCAGGCTGTGATACTAATAAAAAATTTTAAAACCCAGTTATCTCTTAGTCCTAGATCAAGTTAAGAATTTGCTCAAATTAAAGCAGGCAACAACACAATAAGCCCAGAAAAAAACTTAAGATGCTCAGCAGCCACTCACTTCCCAATAACTCAAATCTTTGCTCTTACACTGTTTCTATGGTTGATTGGGGGAAGAATGAAACAACTGGAAGAACACATCAAAGGTAGCAAACTAACACCCAGACCTGATTTTAGATATTGGTCTTGACACTGTTGAGTTATAAGGAAGAAAGTGAAAAAACAAACAAACAAACAAACAAACACAGATACTATCTCCTTTCACAGATATTATATCATTTAATCTGCAACACTGTGAAAGGTAGTAAATGCAGTTTATCCCGATTTTAGCACTGAAAGTTTCATATCCAAGCAAATGGTCACCTTATTTATGTGAGAATTTGCAAGCTGATGTCTAGTAGACAGGTGGTAGGAAAAGTTTCTGATGAAAATAATGATTTTCCCAGGATCTTCCTCAATCTATTTGTAATTTTATCCTAAAGTACTAATGACTAATAATATACGTGGTAGATTAAATTATATTTTAATTGTAAACCCCAAAAAGGACTCCAGAGACTTACCCCAAACATCTGTCGGAGATCGGGGTCCCGGAAGCGGAAAGGGATATTAGAGACATGCAGCCGTTTAGGGGTAGATTTACTCTCTGAATTTTCACTACTTTGTGTCTGTGACGGCTGGCCGTCTGTCTGTGCTCCGCCTTCTGTCTGCTAAGCAAAGAAATAAATAGTGAACAAAAAATAAATACAATTACTTCACATGAATTATGTAAAATACAATCCTCCTCCACGCAAATCATTCTCAAACAGTGTCTTTAGGCAAAAATTACTGTTGTCCTTCTATGAGAAAAAACATAGAAAGATGTTATCTATGTTCAAAATGCTATAGTTTACACACAAAATTTAGGTCTTTTGAATATCTATAGTACATTAGTAAAATGGGAGAAACAGAAACACTAAGTGACTTGCCCAAGACGACATGGAGATACATTAGGATAACTGAAGATATAAAAATAGGACCAGCCATGGGCTGTGTGGCTCAGTGGGCTGAGTGTCCCCTAGTGCCATGGTCGGCAAACTGCGGCTCGCGAGCCACATGCGGCTCTTTGGCCCCTTGAGTGTGGCTCTTCCTAAGCCTTAGGAGTACCCTAATTAAGTTAATAACAATGCACCTACCTATATAGTTTAAGTTTAAAAAATTTGGCTCTCAAAAGAAATTTCAATCGTTGTACTGTTGATATTTGGCTCTGCTGACTAATGAGTTTGCCGACCACTGCCTAGTGCACCAAAGGTTCAATTCCTGGTCAGGGCACATGCCCTGGTTGTAGGCTCGAGCCCCAGTAGGGGGCGTGCAGGAGGCAGCAAATTGATGTTTCTCTCTCAAAAAAAAAAATCAATAAAGACATATTTTAAAAAATAAAAGAAATAAAAATAGTACCATTACTCTTAGATTCTTAGTAAAACTTTCTATTTTTTAGATATTCCTGTCTTGAAAATGAAGTGTCTGTTGTATTAGTTGTGAAGATCAATGCATTTCTGGTCTATCATTTCAGGAAACAAAGGAATATTTTTATATTTTATTCCCTCTATGTGTTCCAGAGTTTATGACTACTGGGTTACCAAAGTATTATTTGTATAGAGGAGACACTTGGTGACAATGGCCACTTTACTTAAAAACGGAAGACACTTCTTACTCTGAAAGCAGTCTATACTCCCCTCTCTAATTCATACGATTCCAGGTAACTTTAGCACACACACCAACCTTTTGCTGCTCAGAGCAAAGTTGCGTTGAGACAATCTGTTTGAAAAGGCTTTAAGGGAGCCTAATCCACTACACACATATAAAGGACAGGTTTGTATACATCTCTAGTGAAAGTGTGTGAGTGTGAAGGGGCATTTTTGATCATGAGTCTCTTTTGCTGCATCCCAGACTTGTGTTCATCTAATCACCCCCACCCCACCAAGAAATCCTCAAAAACGCTGCTATGTTGAGAAACACTTTTGACAAATATCTAATAGGGGTGATATGTTCTAAGCATGCAAAAAACATTTTTGAAGCATTCACCTGGCAATTTCAGAACCTTGTGTTTTACCATTCACTATGATGTACATGCCAAACCTGAGCTCATTAAAACCAACATATTTTAAAACAGGGATGGAACCTACTATTCTTATTATTTCAGTGGAATTAGAACTGAATCCCTAACTGATTCTTCTGGGTGACACAACAAATCCTTTTCCTTTGACCCATGTTCAACTAAAAAAAAACCTGTGAATCAGAGATACTTTTCTTAGAGATGTTAGCAACTATTGTGGAATGAAGTTTGAGACTTTAAAATATAAAGGATAATCAAGAATAAACTCCGAATGAATACCAGCTTTTCAAGTGTCAATCTGAGTGATGGCAGCTTTTATCTCATTCCATTCAGGCCTTGCAGATGGCTTAAATGTGCAATGATTCATGTGATATAAAAATAGCAGAAATGGGAAGAGCTATGAAGCAATGACCTGCAAAAGTGTAACGTTTTCAATCATCAATCTGGGCACAATGTAGACTAAACAAAACAAATTCCATCTAAAGAAGAAACTCACTAAGTTACTAAAACTGCATCATGGACACCAAAGCAATAAGCAAGAGCACCAATTATAACAAATGCTTATCAAGAACCTTCAACCTTGCCTCTTACATCTCACAGCTGGACCACATGAAACTTTCTCCAATCAAACTTTACAAGCACCAGCTCAGGTCTGCAGGATGTCAGTGTATCACTCTAGAAAAGTTAAAAAGACTTATTCCAGCTACAAACCAGTTTTATATATAATTTATATACGGGTGGGCAAATGTAGGTTTACAGTTGTTTATATGGAAAATAATATAATCTACACTAATAAAAGAGAAACATGGTAATTAGCCGTACCTCCACTACCCTTCCCATTGGCTAATCAGGGCGATATGCAAATTAACTGCCAGCCAAGATGGCGGCCGGCAGCCAGGCAGCTTGAAGCTAACAGGAGGCTTGCTTGCTTCAATGACGAGGACTCCAACGTTCCCCGCCTGCTGCTGCCAGCCTCTGAGCTTGCAGTTTGAAACATTGTTACAAATATAGAAGCTAAACAAAACCTCAGAAACCTGCTTTCAGCCAGCCGGGATCTCAGAGCTGGAGTTGAAACAGTGTTTCGATTATAGAACCCAAACAAACCAGATACTTGCTTTCAGCAGCCGAGGCCTAAGAGTTGGAGCCAAGCCTCAGAGCTAAAGCTGGCCCAGAATAAAAAAGAAAAAGAAAAAGAAAAAAAGGAGCGGTTGGGAGCTTCAGTCACCCGCCAGCCTGAAAACAGCCCTCAGCCCCTCACCCAGACTGGCCAGGCACCCCAGCGGGGACCCCCACCCTGAAGGGGGTGTGACCAGCTGCAAACAGCCATCATCCCCTCACCCAGGCTGGCCAGGCACCCCAGTGGGGACCCCCACCCTGATCCAGGACACCCTTCAGGGCAAACCAGCCAGCCCCCACCCGTGCACCAGGCCTCTATACTATATAGTAAAAGGGTAATATGCCTCCCAGCACCGGGATCAGCGTGACGGGGGCAGCGCCCAAACCCCGATCGCCCTGCGGCTCTGTGTGTGACAGGGGGCGGGGCCACAACCTCCCTATCCGCCCTGCTCTGTTCGTGACAGGGGAAGGCGCCCCAACCCCCTGATCGGCCCTGCTCTGTGGGTGATAGAGGGTGGCGCCCCAACCGCCCCCCATGGGCCCTGCTCTGTGTGTGACGGGGTAGAGCCATAACCTCCCCATCGGCCCTGCCCTGAGTGTGACAGGGTGTGGCGCCCCAACCCCCTGATCCGCCCTGCTCTGTGTGTGACAGGGGGGAGCTCCTCAACCCCTATCGGCCCTACTCTGTGAGTGACGGGGGGGAGCTCCTCAACCCCCTGATCGGCCCTGCTCTGTGCGTGATAGGGGGCAGCGCCCCAACCCCCCCAATCGGCCCTACCCTGAGCATGACTAGGGGTGGCATTGCAACCTTCCGATCCACCCTGCTCTGTGCATGATAGGGGGTGGCCCCGCAACCTCCCCATCGACCCTGCCTTGAGTGTGACAGGGGGCAGTGCCCCAACCCCCCAATCGGCCCTACCCTGAGGGTGACTAGGGGTGGCATTGCAACCTCCCGATTCGCCCTGCTCTGTGCATGACAGGGGGCGGCACCCCAACTCCCCAATCGGCCCTGCTCTGAGCCTGACCAGGGGCTGCACCTAGGGATTGGGCCTGCCCTCTGCCACCTGGGAGCAGGCCTAAGCCAGCAGGTCATTATCTCCCGAGGGGTCCCAGACTGCGAGAGGGCACAGGCCGGGCTGAGGGACCCCCTCTCCCCCTCGAGTGCACAAATTTTTGTGCACCAGGCCTCTAGTCTATATATAAAAAAGCCTAAGCAACCGGCCAACCGCTATGATGTGCAATGACCACTAGGGGGCAGACGTTCAATGCACAGTCATGGAACAGACTGATGAATCTCAGAGGGAAGGAGGCAGGGAGGAAGGTGGGAAGAGATTAACCAAAGATGTTATATATATACACTAGAGGCCCGGTGCATGGATTTGTGCACTGATGGGGTCCCTCAGCCTGGCCTGTAGGGATTGGGCCAAAACCATCTCTCCAACATTCCCCGAAGGGTCCTAGATTGCAAGAGGGCGCTGGACAGGCCGAGGGACCCTACCGGTGTACAATTCTGTGCACTGGACCTCTAGTTAATCTCTCTCTATATAAATGTTTAAGCGACCAAACAATCGAACGGTTGGTCAACCGGTCGCTATGATGCTCACTGACCACCACGGGGCAGACGCCTTACGCAGGAGCTGCCCCCTGGTGGCCAGTGTGCTCCCACATCAGGAGTGCTGCTCAGCTGACCAACGGGCGCCAGATGCAGGGCTTACGGTTGGCGAGCGCCTCTGCGATGGCACAAGCCTCTCCCGATCGGGACTGATTTGGCACAAGTCTGCAGCAGACGCAGCAGGGCCATGATGAGCGCGAGCGGCAGGTGGGAGCAGCAGGCGGCATTGACCTGCAGGGATCAGGGTAAAACTGGCAGTCTGACATCCCCTGAGGGGTCCCGGATTGCGAGAGGGCACAGGTCAGGCTGAGGGACCCCACCGGTGCACGAATCCGTGCACCGTGCTTCTAGTAAATAATAATACAGGAATAAACTCTGTTCTGTGAATTCACAGCCATAAACCTACTTTTGCACACCCCATCTGTAGTTCCTGTATCTGTAGCACTGTATGTGAGATGACAGGTAAATGAAAACTAATGACTACTTCAAAGTATATTTCCCAAGCTACTTATTTGTTGCTCCTGAGTTTTTTTACAGCCCCGGAGACCTAAATTAAGACAAGTTTAGAAGCCACATTGGTTAATTTTCTGGCATTGTAAGGAGCACCTACTTTTTGTTTTGTTTTGTATTCCCCAATCTTGGCTGCCAAAATCAAACAGACAGAAAGTGTGAGGAGGACCATTTTTTCTTGCATCTGCACTGGAACTGAACACCTACAATTTTTTAAAGTATGAAGTATATTTTTAATCCTCACCTGAGGATATGGTTTTGTTTTTTACTTATTTTTTAGAGAGAGAAAGGAGGAAAGAGGAAGAGAAACATCGATTGGTTGCCTCCCATAAGTGCCCTTACCTGGACTCGAACCTACGACTTTTTTGGTGCATGAG